TCACTAGAACGTAAGCACTTTACGAGAAGGGATTGTTTCCGCATTTGGTATTTGTATTCTCAGCCCCTTAGCACATAAATGCTTGGTGATTGACTGATTCTTTCAGAGGTCATGAACGTCCTGAGCCCGTCCCTCTCCTCTGCCCCAAGACCTTGCCTTTCCCTAAGTGGCAGATGAGGAATCAGTCTGCCAGCTGTCTTCAGGGCTACAACCTCAGAGGTTGCCTCCAGACCACCCTCAACCCCCTGTCCCAAGTCAACCTTCTTTGAGCTACTTTCAGTACCCTTCAACCAGGGCTTCCTTTTCCCAGAGTCCATAAAACTCACTTCCCTAGAGGGGCTCACTACCTGTCCCAGGAGGTGCTTTATTTTCAATACAGATCCAAGGAATAGCAATACTTAAATGGGAGGGGAGGTATAAGGAAGCAGTCTAGTACGATGCTCTGGAGTCAGAAGTGGTTGTTCAGTGGTTTTTTAGTCATGTCTGACTCTTTATGACCCCATTTGGTGTTTTTTTTGGCAAGGATTCAGGAGTGGTTTGCCATTTCCTGCTCCAGCTTATTTTACAGATGAAGAAACTGAGGCAAACAAGATTAAGTAACTTGCCCAGGGTCACACAACTACTGTGTCCAATGCCAGATTTGAATTCCTGACTTCATACCTGGCACTCTATCCACTGAACCTCCTAGCTGCCCCTGGAGTCAGAAGACCTGTGCTCAAATCCTGCCTCTGGCATTTGCTGTCTGAGTGACCTAGGATAAGTCACCTACCCTCCCTGGTCCTCAGTTTCTTCATCTGTAAAATGAGGGAGTTAGAGGAGATGACCACTGAGGATCCTTCCAGTTCAAGATCTCTGATTCCTGTGCTCCAAAACAAAGGTGCTCATGGAAAATTTCAGGCTCTAGGCAAGGCTAGTGAGCAGACATTCCTGCTGTCCCTCACATTCATTCATGTCAATGACATCTTACAGACTCCTTTAAAGGGGCAGGTACTTTACATGCATTATCTCATGCCTGGGGACAGCCACTGACTTCACCTATGGATCAGGTCAGCCCTGCCCTTCTGGAGCTTGCTCATATCTGTCTGGATACCATACAGAAACTTTAGGTTTCACACTGAGCTTCTGTCCTATGATTAGTGAGCCATGCTATTATCAATCACTTACTGAGTGCTTGTACTGGGCTCTGGGAATATAGACACAATACATACATCATATATAGGGGTAAGCAAATAGGTAGACCTGGGTTCTAGTTCCAGCTGGGTCACTGTGTGACTCAGTTTCCCCATTATAAAATTGAGGTAATGGAGAAGACGATGTTTTCTACCTCTGACGTTCTATGTTCTAAGCTCCCTTTTGTCTGTTATTTTGTGTCCATTTCTTCATTTTAACAAATTTATTATTTCTTGTTACATTTTAAATTCCAAACTCTCTCTCTTCCTCCCTTCCTACCTCACACTAGAGAAGGCCACTATTGGACACAGATTTATAAATATATGTAAGACCATACTATGCATACTTCTATTTATCAGTTCTTTCTCTGGAGGTGGATAGCATCTTCCTTCATAGATTCTTTATAGTTGATTTGAGTATTTCTAGTACTCAGAATCACTTGGTTGTTCACAATTATTCTCTGAACAATACTGCTGTTACTGTATTCAGTGTTCTCTTGGTTATACTCACTTCACTTTTTCTTGTTTCATGCAAGTGTTTCCATGCTTTTCTAAACTCAACTGGCTCATCATTTATTTATTTGTTTGTTTGTTTATTTTGGCAAGGCAATTGAGGTTAAGTGACTTGCCTGGGGTCACATAGCTATTAAGTATCAAGTGTCTGGTCTGAGACTGCATTTGAACTCAGGTCCTCTGCCCCCTCATCATTCTTAATAATCAATTATTTGTTAGAAAATATCCTAAAGTTCTGCATGTTATATTTTGCTCTTTGTTGTAAATTTTTAATATAGCTGAAAACTTGAAAACCCAACTTAGGTGGTTTCCTTGGCAGTATCATGGTGGATCCTAATAAAGAAATGATGATTTCAATGATTTGTGGGAAATTATTGGAGTGCTTAGGATAGGAAGCAAGTAATACCCCAGCTGCCTTTCCCCTGCACTGTTACAGTAGATTTCTTTTTTTTGGGGGGGGGGTTAGGCAATAGAGTTAAGTGACTTGCCCAGGGTCACACAGCTAATAAGTGTTATGCGTCTGAGGCTGGATTTAAACTCAGGTCCTCCTGACTCCAGGGCCAGTGCTCTATCCACTGCACCACCTAGCTGCCCCTATAGTAGCTTTCTAATGGGCCCTCCTTCCATAAGTCTCTCCCTTCTACAAGCCACTCTATACGCAGCTGCCAAAACAGTATTCCTAAAGGATAGGTTTGACCATGCCACTCTCCTGCTCAGTAAACTCCAGTGGCTCCCTATTGCCCTTAGGATCAGATGCCAACTCCTCTGTTTGGTATTTAAATTCCTTCCTAGTCTGGCTCCAGCCCATCTTTCCACTCTTATTCCATATTATTCTCCTTCATGGATTCTACATCTAGCCAAATTGGCCTGATTGCTGCTCTTCACACACAACAATCCATTTCCAGTCTCCGTACAAAGGCACAGGCTCTCCCCACTGGCCAGAATATAGTCAGCCAACTAACATTTATTAGTCAATTAACTGGCATTGACTAGGCACCTACTATGTGTCAGGTACTGTCTCAAGTGCAGCTCTTAGAATCTCTAGCTCCCTCGGAGGTGCTCAAACATCACCTATGTGAGGCCTTTTCTGACCCTTGTAGCTTAAGAGTTCTTAACCTGGGACCACAGACCTCCCCCATCCCCAGCCAAAGGATCTGTGGCCAGATTTCATGGGTTTTATGAATTTGGATGAGGAAAAAGTCACCTTTTTATTTCCAAATAACTGGTTTTCTTTGTAACCCTGTGTCCTTTAGTTTATGAATTTAAAAACATTATTCTGAGAAGGGGCCCATAGGCCTCACAAAGGGGCCAGGACACATAAAAAAAGTGTAATGTAGTGGGAAGAGAACTAGACTAGAGGAACTGGAAATGAATTCTAGAATGAATCTGTGTGGCTTCAGGCAAGCCACTTAACATCAAAGTGGTACATAGAATAGAGTGCTGGACCTGGACTCAGGAAGACCTGAGTTCAAATCTAGTCTCAGACACTTACTGGCTGGGTGAGCCTGGGCAGTTCACAACCTCTATCTTCCTCAGTTTCCTCATCTATAAAATGGGGATAATAAAGCACCTACTTCCCAGGTCGTTTCATGGATTAAGTGAGATAAAATGTGCAAAGATTGTTCTAAACCTTAAAGTGCTATATAAATGCTATCTATATTATCACTGGGTCTCATTTTCCTTATCTGTAACATGAGAGGGTTGAGCCGCTAAGATCCCTTCCAACTTTAAATCTGTGATCCTATGATCTCATCTTCTAATGTCTCTTCTAGCTCTGACATCCACGTTCTATGTCCTGAGGTCCTTCCCAGACCTCAGCCCTAACATTCTGTGTTCTATGATTCTACTAGCCTTGAAACTATGCTCTGATGTGCAATCGATCGACCAATCGATAAACATTTGTTAAGCACCAGGCACTGAGCTAAGGACTAGGGATTAAAAAAAAAATAATAAAGCACGAAGGACAGTCCCTGTCCTCATAATGGAGGAGACAACAAGCAAACAAATATATGCAAAGTAAGCCATATATAAGATAAATAGGAGATAATTAATGGAGGGTAGGTACTAGAATTAAGAAAGGATGGGAAAGATTTCCAGTAAAAGATGGAATCTTAGGATTTAAAGGAAGCAAGAGAGGTCAAGGCAGAGCAGAGGAGGAGAACATTTCAGGCACAAAGAACAGCCAGAGAAAATATCTGGAGTTTGTTCATGGGACAGCCAGGAGGCTGGTATCCTCTAAGAGTGTAAGACAACTGGAAAGATAGGAGGGGGCTGAGTTATGAAGAGCTTTGAATGCCAAACAGCATATTGCATTGCTCCTGAGGGGTTAGGGAACCACTGGAGTTTACTGAGTGGGGGGTTGGAGGGTGTGGGTGACATGACTGGAACATCACCTTAGTGGCAGAATGGAGGATGGATTAGAGCGGGGTGAGACTGGAGGCAGGCAGACCCACCAGCCGGCTTTGCGTAGTCTGGGTATGAGGTGATGGGGCCTGCACCAGATTGGTGGAGGTGTCAGAGGAGAGAAGGGGGGATATTCAAGAGATGGTACGAAGGTGAAATCCGAAGGCTTGGCAACAGCTTGGATGTAGGGTGTGAGGGATAATGAAGAGTCAAGGATGGCTCTTAGGTTTCCAGCCTGAGGGGCAGAAGGGTGGTATTGCTCTACAATAATAAGGAAGGTAGAAGTCAGGGGGGGGTTTTAGGGGGAAAGATAAGGAGTTCTGTTTTGGACATAATTGAGTTTCAGATGTCTACTGAACATCAAGATATCTAAAAGACAAGATTGGAGTCAGCAGAGACATTGGGGCAGGATATGTAGATTTGAAAATCATCAGCATAGAGATGGTAATTAAATTCTTTGTTTCTAGGATTTTTTTTGGTTATTGTTGTTCTGGTGAGGCAATTGGGGTTAAGTGACTTGCCCAGAGTCACACAGCTTGTAAGTATTATGTGTCTAGGTCTGATTTGAACTCAGGTCCTCCTGATTCCAAGGCCAGTGCTCTATCCACTGCACCACCTAGCTGCCCCTAGGATTTTTTCTGAGGCCCCTGATTTGACCACAGATCCCCTGGAATTAAAGGATAATAAGAATGTCAACCATGGGGCTTGTGCTATAGCTCTTAATACTCCCCTTGTCTCGGGGCCAGGATCTCTGGGAACACTGCAATACCAAGTCTCAGGTGGCTTCCCTCCTCCACCACCCATGGGTCAGACCCTTCCTTAGAGAGATCACAGTTTGGGAACCTGAAGTTCTTTTTCCCATGGTCTTCAGGAGAGTAAAGCTCTCCCTAACCCCCACCTCCCACAGCTACTTACCTTCGAGGCTACCTTCGAGGTCCTGTCCACCCCCATCTAGTCACAGCCTAAAGTGCGGTGGAAAGAATCTGAGTCAGAGGATGGGGATTTGAATCTCAGTTCTGCTCCTTCCTAGCTGTGTGACCTTGGGAAAAAACAGTGTTCAGTCTCTGAGCTTTTGTTTCCTCTTTTGTAGGATGAAAGGCTGAGATCAGAGGGCCTCTAAGGGTCCTTCCATCTCTGAATCTTGTGATGCCAGGACTGCAGAGAGCCCAATTTACAGCCTCAGCTCCAACTCAGGTCTCTGTCTTCTTCCTCCTGTCTGTCTCGGTCATATGTTACTTCCTCTTTTCGATTGCTTCCTCTTTGCCTCTGGTCCCATGGAACTACCTGGGGCCCCAGCTTCAGATGATGGGGGCGGGTATTTCTCTCATCTCTTGTCTCAGAGGGGCATCTTCCTCTCTGAAATACCTCTGCCTACTTCAGGAGAACTTCAAAGTTGGGGGATGGGCTGGGAAAAGGGAAGGGAGTTCTAAGGCCTTGGCCTTCTTCAAAATACAGCCCCAAATCAGCCTCCTCTAAGAATCTATCCCTAATAAACTCTCACAATTTCCTTGCAAGAGTGAGCCTCAACTTCAGAAAAACCTGGAAAGACTTGTATGGTCTGTTGCTGAGCGAAATGAGCAGAACCAGGAGATCGTTGTACACAGTAACAGCCATGTTGTGTGATGACTAATATTAATAGACTTAACCCTTCTCAGCAATGCAAGGATCTAAGACATCTCCAAAGGCTTCATGATGGAAAATGCTCTCCACATCCAAAAAAAGAACTATGGAGTTTGAATGCAGATCAAAGCATACTATTTGCTATTTTTTTCTTCTGTTATGTTTTGTTTCCTCTTTCTGGTGGTTCCTCCTATTGGTTCTAATTCTTACTTACAACATCACTAAATGTGAAAATATCTTTAATAGGAATGTATATGTATAGTCTATATCAGATTGTGTGCCATCTTGGGGAGGGAGGTGAGAAGGGAGGGGGAGAAAAATTTAAAACTCAAAAGCTTATGGAAGTGATTGTTGATAATTCAAAATAAATTAATTAAAAAAAAGAGTGAGCCTCTATTATCTTCAACCCCCCCCCAAAAAAACCCCAATTACTTACCTTGAGTAAGAACTCTTCTTGACTCAATCAGAACTGAGTGTAAACAGGGTCTATACACCTCCTTAAATCAGTCCACACCACCTGCTTCACTTGCTCAGGTTGAACAGTTTTTACAAGACAGGAACTGTCTCAGAATCATCTAGCAATTCTGAGGGTCTTGAACCACAGAAGAAGAAGCTGAGCCAGAGAGAACCAGCAGCCCAGAGGCAACCAGAAAAAGGAGGAAGAAGAGGAAGGACTTCTCTGTGACAGGTTTGCAGGCATCTCAGAGCAAATGACCTATCCATAGACGTCCTCAAGGACTGAGTGAGATCTCAAGAAAAGGTTGGATCTTTTCCCAACTTCCCCTTTCAGTGCCTGACATTATATATAATATAATCTTATTTCTTTATCTAAACATTCCAAAAACCTGAATTTTGTCTTAACCACAAAAAGTCCAGAGGTTAACTAGAGATAGAAATATATGTAAATAAAGACAAAGAGCACAACCTTTTCCTAAATGTTAAAAATTTTCTTTGGAGTGATTTAGAGTTTCCTGAGGAGGTTTAGAGTGATTGTAATTTCTTCTCTGGGCTGCATTCCTGACTCTATGGACTTTCTCTGATTGTCTGGTTTCTCCCAGAACCTCCATTTTAAGAGAAAATGACCAGGTCTTCATTCCTGCCTAGGCTGGACTGCTGACTCTCCAGACATTCTCTACCATGCCCCCCAATGGATATCCTCTCTGCCTATTTTTCAGCTTCCTTTTATGTGTTGTCTTCCCCACTAGAATGTAAGTTTCTTGAGGGCAAGGTCCGTTAGTGTGTTGATAAATGTTTAAAAACCAGGTCTCTGGGGAAAAAATGTATACTTGACACACTTTTAAGTTTAGTCTTCATCATTAACCATTTTTTCCAACATTTTCTGAAGTCTAGAGTTTAGACAATCAACGAAACAATAAATCAAGTCTTGATTCATAGCATTTGCTGATTTCCAAAGTGAAAATCCTCACCCTGGAAATTTAACAATCAGGTCTCACAAGTTGGTTTGAGCTGGCTCCAGCACACACCTGGTAGGAACTCTTTCTTCCAGCTTATATTTGCATTCCCAGTGCTTAGCACAGTGCCTGGCACATTTGTTGTTCAGTCATTTCAATTACATCAGACTCTTTGTGACCCCATTTCTTGGCAAAGATACCAGAGTGGCTTCCATTTCCTTCTCCAGCTCATTTTCCAGATGAGGAAACTGAGGCAAAAAGGGTTAAGTGACTTGCCCAGGGTCACACAGCTAGTGAATGTCTGAGGCTGGATTCGAACTCATGAAGATGAGCCACTGCACCACTTAGCTGCCCCAAATGTAGTAAGTACTTAATAAATGCTTGTTGACAGGACTGAATTGAGTGAATAGGAGAGTGACAAAGTCAGATCTATTCTCTAGGAAGATTATTTTGACAGTTAAGTGAAGGTTGGACTAGATTAAGGAAAGCCTTGAGGCATAGAGACCAAGAAAAATGCTAATGAAGGTCTGTACCAATGCGTGCAGTGTCAGAAGAGAAAAGGGGGTATATAGATGTTACGAAGGTAAAACTGATAAGACTCAGCAACAGATTGAATCTGGGAAGTGAAAAAAGGGAGGAGTTGAGGATGGCATCTAGTTTGTGAGCCTGGATTACTGGGAGGATAGTGGTACCCTTGATAGTAATAGGAAAATTAGGAAGGGAGAAGGACTTGGGGATCGGGGAGAAGATAATGAGTTCAGTTTTGGGCAGGTGAAGTGTGAAATGGCTATAGGACATCCAGTTTGTGATGATTTAATAGGCAGTTGAAGATGCAAGACTGGAGGTCAGCAGAGAGATGAAGCTGGACATATAGTTCTGGGAATCATCATCAGCTCAGGGAGGAAAATGGAATCCATGAGAGCTGGTAACACCAAGAGGTGAAGAAAGGAGAAGAAAGGAGGACCAGTAACAGAGCCTTGGAGAATACCCATGTCACTGGACATGATCCAGATCAATATCCAGCAAAGGAAACTGAGGAAGAGATATCAGATGAATTGGTAGAGAACTAGGAAAATCAAGAGAGAAACAAGGATCAAGGAGAAGAAGACTGACAGTGTCAAAGGTTGCAAAGAGTTAAGAAGGCTGAGGATTAAGAAATGGCCACTAGATTTGGTAATTAAAGATCATTAGTAATTTTGGAGAGAGCAGTTTCAGTTGAATGATGAGTTCAGAAGCCAGACTACAGAGTTAAAAAGAGAATGAGAAGAAAAGATTTGGAGGTAGTGATTGCAGACATCCTTCTCAAGGAGTTTAGCCACAAAAGGGAAGATAGAAATGGGACAAGAGTAGTGGAGATGGACAGATCAGGTTAGGGCTTTTTGAGAATGGGGGAGACAGGGGCATGTTTGTAGGCAGCAGAGAAGCAGCCAGTAGACAGGGAGAAATTGAAAATAAGTAAGAGTAAGTAAGCATAATCAATAGTTTATGGGAAAATGACCTGAAGATCTTAGTGGACCATAAGATGAAGGTAAGTCAATGATGTGACATGGTAGCCAAAAAAACATATATTTTGAGGTTGCATTATGAGACTACTAGTGTACAGAGCTCCATTGCTCTTGGGGTGACCTGTCACTTTGTTTCTTTGAAAATTGTGGTGTTCTAAAATATGCAACCCCAAAATCACTGGGAAAATGTATTAAAAGATGGGGTTTGGAGATCCAGAGAGCCCCTTGAGAGGAACTGTGCAATGTCCCAAATTGTGATCTCACCTGCTCTCTTCCTTCTGTACAGTTCTGGGTCCAATTCATTATCTGTCTTTGGCACTTTTCTTTGATGTGTGTACTGAATGGATTCAACGGACAGCTCATGCTACCATAGATCTGAACCTGGGCAAAATAGATGTTTATTTCTTTTTAAAAATTAAATGTTTTATTAGAAACTTAATGCAAACAACTATACAAATATAATGACTATTTGTATTTAAATTAAGTATCATAACATTTTTTACTTTCTCCTTTGAAATCCACATCAGGATTCTTTGCCCATTCATTTTCATTCACTTTTCCTCATACTACTGTAATCAGGCTCATTCCATTCTTCTGGTTTTCCTTTCATTTACTTTGCATTATTTCATGATGTTCTTTATGGATTTCCTTGTGATCTCAATTGTCCATTTAAATCATTTTACAATCTTCAATTACATTAATATACTATGATTTATTTAGCCATTCCCATGTTATTGTTGTTTAGTCATTTTCAGTCATATCTGACTCTTTGTGACTCCATTTGGGCGGACATACTGGAGTGGTTTGCCATTTCCTTCTCCAGCTCATTTTATAGATGAGGAAACAGAGGAAAACAGGGTTAAGTGACTTGCCCAGAGTCACACAGCTAGTAAGTATCTGAGGACAGATTTAAATTCAGGAAAATGTCATCCTAACTTCAGGCCCAGCACTCTATCTACTTTGCCACCTATCTATTAGGAAAATATCTTCATAGACTGCTCTTTTTTTAAAATTACATATGTAAAGTTATTTTTCTAATAAAGGAACTATTAGGTCAAAGGATATCATTGTGTAAACTTTATTGCATTCTGCCTGATTGCTTTCCAAGTTTTCAGTTCCACCAACAATGAATGAGTATACCTGTTTATTGCAATCCTGCCAACATGGAATTTTGTTGTTTTTAATTCTTTTTGCCAACTTGATGGGTATGATGTGCTACTTCAAAGCTGCCTTAGTTTGTGTTGCTTTGAAGATGAACATTTTTAAAGCAATTATTAGTTGTGTTTCCTGTTTTGAAAAGAGTCTATGTCATCAGCCAAACTGGACTTCTTACTATTACTTATATGGTGCTCTATCTCCAGCTTTCATTCCCACCAGCCTTCCCCAGGCCTGCAATGTACTTCATCCTTACCTCTGTCTCTAACAATTCCTACTTCCTTTCAAGTCTCTGCTCAAGTACCAGCTTCTACATAAGGGTCTTCCTCATCACTACCCTCCAGGGGCTAGTACCTTTCTTCCTCCCAAATCAACTTATCTGACATAACTGTGTTGTTTATACCTGTATTGCGTGTGTGTGTGTGTGTGTGTGTGTGTGTGTGTGTGTGTGTGTGTATGGACTACTTTCACTTTTGTCTTTGTATCTCCAACACTTAGCACAATGCCTAGAAACATAATAGATGCTTAATGCATCCTTGTTGATTGATTGATGTGACAAACAATATGCATTTTTTATCTATTCAGCATTTCTTGTATATATCATGAGTAAAATTCCCATTTGGGCTGGGTGTAGGACAGCTTCCAAAGACATGAATGTCTTCGACAATTTTATACCTAGTGTGATAGTTGATATGCTTCTCCCCAGCTAGTTCATAGAAATCTAGAATTGGAGAAGAAAATGGAATGGTCCAAACCTAGCCTATGGCTACCAAGATGAGATGGCTCTCATGCAATCACTTCTTTTTTCAGGCCCCAGGGAAACCAACTTCACATCAGAAAAACCTTACTGTTGCTCCCATGCAGGGCTAAACTATCGAGCTGATGGTTTTTAACTTAATTTTAAAGAGATTTTATTGATCACGTTATATTTTGTTTTGACATAACAGATACATTCATCTCAATGATGGGAAGTTACTACTTTCAGAGGCAGTCTGTTCCCTTGTTGGACAGCTCTGATTATTAAAAGGGTTTTTCTTAGATTGAGCCCAAATCTGCCTACTTGTAATTTCAATTCAATTCTTCAAATTTGTATTAAGTCCCTATTGTAAATGACATTTCTCTAGCATTTACCTTCATCCACTGGAGAAGGAAATGGCAAACCACTCCAGTGCCCTTGCCAAGATAACCCCATGGATGGTGTGGTGCACAGGGTCACAAAGAAGTGGACGTGACTGAACAATCTTAATGGGCTACTCTAACCAAGTTGCAATCTGCATCAAGGAAGGAAATTACTTGGGAGTTTTTCCTAATATTAAAAGATTAAATCTGTTTCTCTGCAATTTTCACTCACTGCTTCTAGGTGTGGCCCTCTGGGACCAAGCAGAATAGGTCTGTCCCCTCTTCTGCAATAATACTTCAATGACAGGCATTGAGCTAATTGCTGGGGATACAAGTAAGAAAAAGGAAGATAGTACTTGCCCTCGAGGAACGTCTAATGGTGCTGGGTGGGAACCAAACAGAGCAGTTGATAGGAAAATCTCAACTCTTTATAAAGGGAGGCTTGGGAGAAGTTCCAAGCTCCACCCTCAGGCCCTCCGATAAGGGGAGGGAAGCAACTGATGGCTCTGAGCTTGAGCTGAATCAATCTCCAGGATGATGAGATTTCAAGTGATATCCTTGGGAAAAGCACAATATTAGTCTACTAAAATCCCCTTATCTTTTCCCCTATAATTAGTGTCTAACCAAACCTCTTCCAATACAGGCCTCAGCTTCCTTTTTGCTTCTCATTCTTTCTCAGGTAGCTGACAGAAGGAGAGAGTGGGAGAGCAGACACCACCATAACTTTTAGATCTGGAAGGCAACTTAGAGATAATCTAATGTAGTCTCTTCTGTTCTACTGAAAGAAAGTGAGGGTCAAAGAATTTAAATGGCTTCACCAAAGTCATAAAGGAATTAAATGGCTATAAGTTCAATTTGTAGCTAGGACTTTGCTCCACACCCTCTAGTAAGAGGGAGCCCAGTTCCTCTGGAAACACATTCAACTTTTGAATACTGCTGAGAATTAGGAAGTTTATCCTTTCCTCAAGCCTTACCTCGACTTGAATATAACTTCCACTCACTGCTGCTAGTTTTACCCTCTGGGTCCAAGCAGAATAATTCTATGACAGCCCTTCATGACAGCCCTTTAAATACTTGAAGACGGTGGCCACGTCTTCACATCTATTTTTCCCCAGGATGAATAGCCCCAGTTTCTTCCACCAATCTTAATACGGCACCGACCTCCAGGTACTATATACTGTTCTGACTGCCCTCCTCAGGAAGCTTTCTAAACAATGTCCTGAGCACAATACTTTAAGACATGGTCTAATCAAGGCAGAGAAAAGTGAGATTAGTCACAAGGAATGGTTACTTAGTGTCCATTAATGCTCCTTTGTTTAGTTGTTTCAGTCTTTTTTTTTAAGAAAGTATCTATCCCTCTCTCCTTGCTCTGTCTTTGTCTTCCTCTTTCTCCCTCTCTCCCTCCTTCCCTCCCTTTCTCTCCTCTCTTCTCTCCTTCCTCTTTCCCTCCTTCCCCTCTTCCCCCAGCCCCCACTCTTTTAATGGAAGCCAAGCCTTTTGGACTCTGTGACTGAGGCACTTATGACCAGCTGGTGGCAGTGTGTCCCAATCATAACTTCATCAAGCCATAGACTGACTGCATTGGAAGAGACCGGTGGAGATCATCTGGCCAATCCCCTCGTCTAGCCACATGTCCACTTTAGGACAGCTCAAATTGTTAGGAAAATTTCCCTTATATTGACCTGAAATATACCGACCTATGATGTGTACCCAGTGCTCCTAGTTCTGTTCTATGGCCAAGAATATACCTAATTGCTGCTCCAGAGGACAGCCCTTCAAATATTTGAAGACAATTCCCCCACCCCTCTCCCCAAGTCTTCTCATGTACAGGCTGATTATCCTCTATTTTTTCATTGGTCATTGTATGACACAGTCTCTGGTCCCCTCATAATTCTGGTCCCACTCTTCTGGATGCACTGCATTTTATTAGCATCCTCCCTAAAATGCATAATCTCCCTCACTCTGGGCATTGGAATTGTAATTAGTGTAGTCTTAAAGTTACTTTCACTTTTGGGGCCTACTACTGACTCATATGGAGCTTGAAGTTTACTAAGAATCCCATATTTTTGCAGGAGTATATGTGTGTGAGCTGGGCTTCTCTCTGACCTTTCATGTCCCCATCTTAACCAGAAGTCCCTGGGGCCATGCTTTTGAAATGTAACTGTGATGGGGAATCTTGTACATATACAGATTTTCATCTTGTACCAAAAGCCTGGGATAACACCTTAGATTAGGTCTGGTCATAACCACAGTGTACAAACTCTCATGGGTCCCTCTTTCCCCACCACTTGTCAGCCTGGGGCTTTTTCCACTTCTTTCCAAAGAGAGATATTCATCTCCCTCCTTCATTACTCCCTCCATTAATTACTCAACACTGACTCCAATACTAATATGGTTTGAAACCCCTTTGCAGGGTCCTACTTGGGTCATTCAGACTAACTGTTCAGCCCCTCAGAGAAATGCTGAGAATAGTCTTTGTTTTCCTTGTGTACATGGCAAAGAGAGAACTATAGCCTTTATAAAAACAGAAAAACTATATGCACAATAAAGGCTGTGTTGGCCAATTAGTGGACTCAGATCCACTGAAGGTGTTAGACTTTTCTGCTGCCACCATATTCCTAGGACCCTATTCAGTAACTTTCATCTTCTTCCTTTCTGCCAAATGACTGTCACCTATCAAGATCCAGCTTAGGCACAACCAATACGGGAAAGCTTGTTCTACAAACTCCAAATTTAGGAAAGACCCAAATTTCAGTGTCAGAAGCAAACCTGACCACATTCCTAGCCTCATGCAGTGGGCTAGGCTACCACACCTCTGATCCTAGAAAACTACTTCTCCTGGGAAGTCTTATCTGAATCCCACTTCACCCCACCTATTCTGGTATAATAATAGTTATCCAATAAGAACCAAAATCCAACCCCCTCAAGACTTCACAGAACACTTTGCAACTCTCTCAAGCACTTAAATATACTTAGGGGCATAGATTCCATTTCATTTCACCTGTGATTTCATTGTGTAGGATGAGCTTCCCCTGGGCACTTGGAGGCTAGAATGAGTGGGACTAGAACCAAGGTTGTTACAACTCCTCTGTCATCCCTCTCTCCATGACTGGACACTACCTCTCCATAAATATATTTATAGGTACATTTTGATTTTAATTATTTGTGCATCTCTCTTATCTCAGTCTTATGAAGTTAAAGCAATCTGAGAGGCTTCCAGTCCAATTCACAGCTTTCCAGAAATCCCCCCAACAATATTCCCAACAAGTGGTCATGCAGCCACTGCTTTAAGATCCCCAGGAATGGCATACTCACTACCTGAGAAAGCAGCTCATCTTCCCTTAGGTGGTCATAACTCCCTATTAGACTAGCTATGAGGACAGGAGCTGTCCCTCAGCTAAACTATGAGTCTCTTCCATCACTTGCTTTTATCCATGATTGTTGAGCTAAGTTTGGCAAAGCCACCAGGGACTTGTACCCAGCCCAGCCCTCAGCTCCTGCTTGGAGACACAACCCTTTAACAGAGCAAGGAGGCGACACAAAGCTGTGTGACAAAAGAATGATTTATTTGAACAATCTATGATAAAATTATATAAAATAACCCATTTTCTTAAAGACATCTACAGTGTCACCTGGGAATCAAATGTACAGATACTGCCTCCAATCCAGACAAAATAAATTACCACTCAGTGGGAAAGGGAAGGAGGAACAAACCAAACCGGAAAGGTGTGAGCTTGTGAATTTCTCCCCTCCAAAAAAAAAATTATACAACTATCATGGAGGGGAGGGAGTGGGGTAGAAAACCAGAGAATCAACCAGTGGCAGAGCAAGTCAATGAGTGAGGAGAGATGGACATTGATCGTTTGTAAGGTACACGGACACACTCATGCATATGGCTGGCCCAAGACAGCGGGTATAGCCATCTCTCTCATTATATATACACCCAATGGCTGGGTCAGCAATGAGGAAGCACCAGGCAGCAGAGAGCGTGACCCCTCCCTCACTACAGGCATGCTTCAGTCTAGCCAGTCCTGGAGGGGGCCACAGAGGAATATGAGCTTAGGCAAGCATACTCCAGGGATGCTGCCAAGGCTGAATTAGGAAGCAGAGAAAGGAACCAGGAGAAGTCACACACTTATCTGTCTATACTTACTTCTGTTTTTAATCTTTTTTTAAAAGTTTAAAAACAGAGCTCTTAAACAGCTGCATGTAAACGTAGAAACACTCCTGAGCTGGCCACAGGCCACAGAACCCCCAGCTCATTGGATACCATCAGACTCACACTCTGCCAGGCCATTTGGACCTTCTCAGAGTATCTGCACCATTAGGAGGACTTTGTCCTCAAGCACTCATCAATACAGCTAATCTACCTGGACTAGGATAATGAAGGAGGGGGAGAAAGGGGCCATCCAAAACCATCCAGCCAAGTCTCTGTTGGCAAACTCTGCTGTCCTCTGAGGCCTGACCTTCAGGATGCCTGGTGAATGGAGGAGGGGGGACATGCACCCAGAGTCCATGTCCTGGTCTCACCTGGGTCTGGGTGGGGGCAGGGAAGCCAAGGAATGATAAGACCGGGCTAGCTCTTTGGCTTATTGGGTTGGGAAAGTGAGGGAGAAAAGGTGTATAACAGACCCAGCTAAGTTAGCATGTGCCCTGTTGGCAAAGAATCCAGGAAGATCCTGGAAAAAAACTACAGAAATATTCATGCTGTAAAAATGTCTCCAAACTCCAATCCAAGTTTTCGGGTTCAGATTCAAATGACCCAGTCTACCTTTATAGAGATTTCTCAAGTGACCCCCGGCACCTGGTTCATCGTCACAGCACTGAAGGTGAAAGGGGGGAAAGGAAAGAGTCATTCTCCCCATGTTGCAGGTGGAGAGCCCATTGCAAGCCCAGAGAAGCGAAGCAATTTGCCCAAGGTCACACAGTAAGATGTTGCTCTACATTCTGCCCTCCTGTCTAGAGCTGGGACTTCCATGCCACAATTTTTTGGCAGTCAGTGATGACAGTATCTAATTCCTGAAAATTCAGAAAGCAGCAGAGGATGTGGCAGGGGCAGGGCTCACAAGGAAGAACACTCTTCCTTGTGCCCTTCTAGGGGGAATTTGAAGAAAGCTATTTGAGGAGGGATCTGACCAAGGGATGAAGAGATGAAAAAAATGACTACCCTCTCTACCTCATCTTCTTCCAAGTAGAGACAGAGAGGTGCCTCAGCCTCAGAGCTAGAGGGTCATGACTGATCATAATAAGGGCACCTGGTAGTGGCCTGGTCCTGTCTAGTAAAATCAGAGTCCCAAGGTTGACATTTCCCCAACTGCAGTCAGCTAGACTCTAGGACAGGCTTATGGGCAAAGGTGTGTGCTGAGTCTGGGGCTGGGCACAGGCCAGGAAACAGATGGATCAGAGAAGCCTTGTTTTCCCCTGGAGCACAGGAAAATATTGGGATAGGCAAGGGCTCTGGACTCAGGAACCACAGTCTGACATTCCCACTGATGCTTCAACTTGGGGAAGTGGCTCACTTTGGCCTCCAGTGGAGAGGAGAGAGGTCTCTTCCCAGACCAAACAAGACCATTAAGCAATCAGCCTGCCTGCCAACATTCTGACCGGGGGCAGGGTGACCAGGCAGAACCACCACTGCAAAGACTAGAGAGAAAACTCAGAAGTGAATACACAGACACCAGACCACGTGTGTGTGTGTGTGTCTACAAGTACATGTTTGTACATGCACATGTCTGCGCTCATGTGTGCAATATACTCTTGTGCATGCCGTATATATGCAAGTTGTATGTACGTTCATTGTGCCTTTGTGAGTACATGTGCATGTCTCAGTGCACACATGACTGCATTCTGTATTTGTCACCTTGTCTGCTCATCTCAGAGTTGCCAGGGCAAAAGAAGCCTCTCTAAGGAGTGTGCAGAGCAAGGGGCACTGGGTCTCTCCTGAATGCCTGGCAATTTGGCAGGGTGAATGGTGACAAGCAAAGGGCGGTTTTTTGCTGTGAACAAGGAACTAAGTTTTTGTGCCCTGCTCTCTCAGTGCTGGGACTGACCAGCCCCTGGCACCACAGAGGAGGCACCAGTGCTGTCTGACTAACATGGGCACCACAGAGGACAATGATGCTCCCGGCTCCTTGCTCAGCATGGTGAGCCGGCTGGCCCTGTAACCAGTAACAGTCTGTTCCAAATGAAGCCAAATGATGCAGGATGACATGTGTCCATGGGTACACATCTCCCAGGAGGCTGAACTCCCTGAGCACCCCACTCTTCACAAATCTCTCCTTCCATTGAACAGCTCCCACACTTATTAAGAGCACTTCACCTCCAACCTAAGTGATTCCCTGATGGCCCCCCATAGGTAAGTCTCTCCCACAGATGGAACTCCTTTGGATCAGGGCCTGAGCTTCTATCTCCTGTCTCCCCCCAGACTGTAAGCTCCTTGAGGGAAGGGAGTCTCCTTTTACTATCTTCCCCTTGTTGGAGCACGAGCACAGGGTGTGGCACACTGAGTAGGAATTCACTGAACAGCTGCTGACTGACTGTTTGACCCGATAATGCTGATATCCTTTTAAGCCACTGTGAGGGCTAGATCCAGGAGGGCTCATTGCTGGAGTCATCTGGCCAAAGCCTGTGGGAAGAGCACCTGTTCCCTGAAGAACCACGTGCAGATGGCTCTCTAGCCCCTAAGGGACACCAGCTTCCTAAGAGCAAACTTTTTTCCTTCTTTGTAAAAGCTAAAGAATGAATACCAAGACAAGATTCAAATCAGGCTAAAAGGACAATGATTTGGCCAGAGAGTGACCCTAGGCCTAGCTAATGCCAAGGTCAGTCCAAAGGCAGGTCTAGAAGAACCTTAATGCCACCTAGGCTTATCTGATGTCCCCTTTGGGTAGAAGCTCAGAGCCTGGTGCTAATGTCAGATGTATGGCATGCCTGTCAGGGCACTGGGGACCCATCCGATGCCACTGGATCTGTTCCATAGGCTCATGACCAATTCCATGCAGACCCAACATTAAGGGGTATCCAAGGCCCTGGGAAGGAACATATCATCAAGGCTAAGACCTTACAGCCATGGATGATGAGTGAAAGAGAGGGGTGTGATTACTAGACTAGGGCAGGGCAGAGGAGCCCAGAAGAGGTGCACAGCTGGGCCATCGATTTGGCACAAGTGGGATATCTGACATGGCTAGTTGTCTAACAACTGCCGTAGGCCCAACAGGCTCAATTTCTTTGTACAAAGTGCCAGTGACTGACACAACAGCCCACAATCACACATACACACACAACACTAACACACCACTGGAATCACAGGTGGCCAGCGGCAGTGACGCAGGACACGTCTTCATATCACAAACTTCTCTGCCTCAGGAAGGAAGGCAGCGTCCTGGAGTCGGGTTGAGCTGCAGGTGGAGTTCTGGGTGCGGTTTTTCATGGATGGTGTCAGGGAGCCCACTACTTCCTCAGTAGGAGGGGCAGGGCTAATAGCAGTCCTGACCTTACTAGCTGGCCTTAGCGTTGACCCCGATGACAGCCTGTTGCCAGTCATGATGTCCAAGTTTCCAGTGGGGTCAATGATTGCATTGATAACTGAAAGGGAGACCAGAAAGAAGGGAGTATTAAATGCAGTCAACAATGGTAAATATTCACAAATCACAAGAGAGAGAGAGGATTCTCTGCTCACCCCATCCTCACAGGGCATCTCATCTAGCCTCCTGTTTCCAGTCTCCAGCCCTCCCTGCCTCAAGAAGCCAAAAAGCTTCTTGAGAGTAGGAACTATTTCATGCTTGGCTTTGTGTTCCCAGTGCCTAGAATCATACTAGTGCTTAATAAATGGCTGTTGATGAATTGTTTGAATGCCAAGGTCATTGATCCAATATTTGAGAAATAGGCTATCATATTGTTACCTAATCTACCCAACCTTCCAGCACAAGTCTGAACCCAGGACACACCGATCTCCCTCTTCTCTGAGTTCCTCTGGTGGCTGGGGCCCAGGGGTGGGAACCTGCATCCAGCCCTATCTGAAACTCTCATTGGATGCTTACCCCATGTTGATTATTTAGTTGCTTCTCATTTGTGAGTCTCATCTCCCCAACAAGGCAGGGATCTTAGTCTACTGCTACTATGCTCCCCCCAAAACTGGCAAGGCCTGGATATCTTTCCCTTCCTGTCTTCCTCACAGCAGAGGTGAGCACAGGAATAGGTTAAAAACTGGGGCTTAAAGGATATTTATAGAATTAAACAGAAGAGTTTAAAAATGACAGAATTTGAGACTTGGAAAGGATTTTAGCAGCCATCTAGCCCAACTTACAACCAAAAGGAATCTTCACTATAATCTATCCAGCAAGTGGTCACCTAGCCCCTGACTGAAGACCTCCAATGAGGGGGAACCCACTACCTCCCAAGGCAGCCCCTTCTACTTTTGGACAGCTCTAATTGTCAGAAAGCTTTTCCTGACTTCAAGCTTCAATTTACTGCTTTGTAGCTTCCAACCAGTGCTACTGGGATCATTCAGAACAAGTTTGAGGCCTCTTCCAAATAACAGGTCTTTGAACACTGGAAGACTGCCATCTTGTCTCTCCTGAGTCTTCTCTTCTCCTTGCTAAACACCCTCAGTTCCTCCAACTAATCCTCACGTAGTGTGGGCTCAAGGTCCTTTACGTCCTCAGTGCTCTCTTTTGGACCCTCTCTAGGTTATCATGGTCCTCTTGCAACCCCCAATACAGAATTGAATGCAATGGAGGTGGACTAGGCAAGGCACAGTCCAGTAGGACTATCACTTCCCTATGTTTTTTAAAGCTATGCTTCTCTTAATGAGCCTTCCTTTCATCTACACCCAAGGAACACTACTGGTGCTGCTGGTGGATGCAATTTTCAGTATATACAATATTAAAAAAATCATTTGTAACTACAGATCCTTTGCCACTGTATGCCCAGCCCTACATTCCACTCCCCTACAGGTGGGCTATGTTTGAGCAGCTATGCTAGGCCATGCTAGGCTAGGTAGGGTTCCCAACCTGGATCTTCACGAGCAGAATGTCTGAAGTCACTAACCTTCTAGCTGTTTCTGGACTCTCCTTAGTTCCTTCAGAATGGAGCTGATTTCCTAGGGAAAAGAGAGAGGCACATTAAAGCTTGAAAGGCTCTCAGAGGTCTAGCACAATTCACTGTATTTCTTTTAAAAAAAATTTTTAGTACAATTTTATTTTCAGCTCTAAATTATCTCCCTGCTTCCACCCCCTCCTCCACCCATTGAGAAAGCAAGAGAAACAAAACCCATTACGATATGTATAGTCAAACAAAACAAATTCCCACATTAGCTGAGTCCACTGTGTATACATACATATACATACACACATATATATATGAAAAGAAAAAAAAATTTCAATTTGCTCTGAGTTCATCAGGTTTTTAAATTTTTTTAAATTTAATTTTATTAATTTTATTATTTTTTATCATGAGTACTTTGGGATTGTAGTTAGTCATAGTGTTGACTAGCTAGAGTCACTAAGTTTTTCAAAGTTTATTATCTTAGCAATAATTGTTGTTATTGTATAAATTGTTCTACTCACTTTCCTTTGCAACAATTCATATAGGTCTTCTCAGATTTTTCTAAAACCATCCTTTTTTCCTTACATTTCTAATGATACAATAATATTCCATCACATTCATATACTTGTTCACGCATTCCCTAATTGATGGACATCCCCTCAATTTCTAATTCTTTGTCTCCTCAGAAAGAGATGTTATAAACATTTTTGTATATATGGGTCCTTGTAATAGCATTATTACTGAATCAAAGGGTATGAACAATTTAATAGCTTTTTGGGATAGGGTTCAAAATTGCTTTCCAGAATGGTTGCATCAACATAGCTCCAACAACAGTGCCTTAGTATACCTATTTTCCCATAGTCTCTCCAGCATTTGTCATTTACCTTTTTTTTGTCATCTTAGTGAATCTGATGGGCATGAAGTGGTACCTCAGAGTTGTTTTAATTTATATTTCTCTAATTAGTGATTTAGAGAATGTCTATATGACTATTAATAGCTTGAATTTCTTCCTCTGAAAATTGTCTATTCAAATCTCTTGAACATTTATCAACTGAGGAATGATTCTTATTTATGTATATTTAACTTCATTTCCCTATATCTTAGAAATGAGACCTTTATCAGAAAAACTTGCTGTAAAGATTTTTTCTGCAGCTTCCTGCTTTTCACCTAATTTTAGTTACATTGGTTTTGTTTGTGTGAAAACTTCTTAATTTTATGCAATCAAAATTTTCCATTTTACCTCCTGTGAACGTCTCCGTCTTGTTTCTATATGAACTGTCCTCCTATCCATAGATCTGTCAGGTAATTTCCTCCATGCTCCACTAATTTGCTTATAATATCACCTTTTACATCTAAATCATGTACCCCTTTTGAGCTTAACTTAGTATATAGTGTGAGATGTTAATCCGTGCCTTGTTCCACTAGATTACTTTCTACTTTTACCTGAATTTTCAAATACTTTCTGTAGTACTGAAGTGGTTTGTAAATATTTGGCAGAATCATTTATAAATTCATATAGTCCTGGGGCTTTTTGCCTTAGGAGTTAATTTATGGCTTCTTCAATGTCTTTTTCTAAGATAGGGTTATTTAAATATTCCATTCTTATTCTGTTAAATTGGACAATTTTGGTATGTTGTCTCATTGTTATCATTATCTTTAATAAAATAATATTGAGTGTTTCTATAATTTGTTCTTTGACACCATGCATTCTTTAGAATTAAGTTATTCAGTTTCCAATTACTTTTTAATATATGTTTCAAAGGCTTTTCATTGAACGTAATTTTTATCACATTTTGTTCAGTAAAAGATGCATTTGATATTTCTGTTTTTCTACATCTATTTGTAAGATATTTATGCCCTAATACAAAGTCAGTTTTTGTGAAGGTGCCATGTATAGCTGAGAAATAGATATACTCCTTCCTATTTCCATTCAATATTCTCCAAAGATCTATCATATCTAACTTTTCTAAAATTCTATGCAGGTCCTTAACTTCTTTTTTGTTTATTTTTTGGTTCAATCTATCTAGGCCTGAAAGAGATAAACTGACATCTCCTACTATTTGAGTTTTACTGTCTATTTCTTCCTGTAATTCATTTAACTTTTCCTTGAAAAATTTAGATGCTATGCCATTTTATGTATGCTTATTATTGATATTAAGCTATCATCTAATGATACCTTTTAGCAAAATGGAATTTTTCTGTTTATGTCTTTTAAAGTAGGTCTAGTTTTGCCTTTGCCTTGTATGAGATCATGATTGCTACCTCTGTCTTTTTACTTCAGCTGAAGCATAACAGATTATGCTGCAGACCTTTATTTTAACTCTGTGTGTATCTTTCTGTTTCAAGTGTGTTTCTTATAAACCACAAATTATTTCATTCTGGTTTCTAATCCAGTCTGCTATCCTCTTCCATTTTTTGGGTGAGTTTATCTTATTCACATTCACAGTTATGACTGCTAATGGTGTATTCCCTTCCACCCTATTCTCTCATACTTATCCTTCTCTCTTTTTTCCTGCTCTCTCTTTAAGAGTCTGTTTTGCTTCAAATGACTACCTTATTCTACCTTTCTTATTTTCCCCTTTTCCTTCCTATTTCCTGCTGGGTAAGGTATTTTTGCACTCAACTGCATGTATATGTATTCTTCCCTCCTTTAACTAGTTCAAATGAGAATGAGGTTCATGTGTTGTTTGCTCTTCTGCTCCTCTCCCCCCACCCAAACTGTCTCCTCCTTGTTGTATAACTTCTCTTTTCACATCCCATTTACATGACATAGTTTTCCCATTGTTTCTCTCCCTTCTTCCCCCCCCCATGCACTCTTTCCCCCTACCCATTCCATTCTTCTTTTGAGATCACCCAAACACAATAGAATCAGACCCAGGCCCTCTATCCTCCCTCTATGACCCCTTGTAATGATAAAGTTCTGATGGGCTGCATATATCATCTCCCCATATAAGAAGGTAAACACTTTAACATTATTTAGTCCCTTATGATTTCTCACTCATGTTTACCTTTTTATGCTTCTCTTTACTCCTGTGTTTGTATGTCAAATTTTCTGCTCAGCTCTGGTCTTTTTATCAAGATTTCTTGGAAGTACTCTAATAATTAAAGAACCATTTCTCTCCCTGTAGGATTATACTTTTTCTGAGTAGGTTATTCCTGGTTGTAAGCCTAGGTCCAAGCCCTTCATATTCCAAGCCCTTCAATCATTTACAATGGTGGCTGCTAAATCTTATGTGATTCTGACTGTGGATCCTCGGTATTTAAATTATTTTCTTCTGGCTTCTTGCAGTATTTTCTCCTTGATTTGGGAGGTCTGGGCTTTGGCTATACTTATGCCTGAGAATTTTCATTTTGGGGGTTTCTTTCAGAAGGTGACTGGTAGATTCTTTTGATTTCTACCTTCCCTATGGTTCCAAGATATCTGGACAGTTTTATGATTTCTTGAAATATGATCATCTAGATTTTATTGCTGTTGTTGATGATGGTTTTTAAGTAGTCTGATGATTCTTAAACTATCTCTCTTTGATCTCTTTTTTAGGTGAGTTGTTTTTCCTATGAGATATTTCACATTCTTTTCAATGTTTTCAGTCTTTTGACTTTGTTTTATTACTTCTTAAGTTATTAGCTTCCACATGGCCTATTCTAATTTTCAAGGAGCTACTTTCTTCAATATGGTTTCATGCCTTTTTTGTTAAGCTGTTAATTCTCTTTCAATATTTTTCTTCCCAAGTTCTTAACTCTTTTCTCATTCTTTCTTCTACTTTTTTTAAAAAAAATCTTTACTTAGCTCCTTCTTTAACTCTTGCTTTAGGCCTTCTAGGGATTGTTCTTGGGCTTCTGCCCAATCTGCATTTTTCTTCAATGTTTTTCTTGTAGGTGTTTTCAAGTCATTGTCTTCTTCTATATTTGCATCCTGAGCTTCCTTGTCACCATAATAAATAGCTCTTTGCTGTCAGGGTTTTTGTTTGTTTGCTTATTCTTCCAGGTCTTGACTTTGGACTTTATGTTAATACTGGGCTCTGGAAACTTCCAGGGGGGTGTCTGGCTTAAGCTTCTGCCTTATTTCCTTTTGCTGCTTTCACAGCTCAGTCTAGGGACCTGCAAGCTTTCAGTGCTTTCAAAGTGATGTGATACAGAGGGAGGTCTGTGTACTGCCTCCTGGTCTGAGTTACACAAGTTTCTAGCTAAGTTTTGTTCTGTCAGTTTGTTTCTGGTTGAGAGTTTCAGCAGGTTGCTGTTTGACTCAGCCACCATCGGTCTGCAGGAAGATTCTATTAGTTTGGAGCACCTGAATTGCTGACTGTCCCTTGGTCTAGGACATCATGCTCTGTCCCAAAGATGAGAACCCCACAGTTACTGTTTGCTTCCTGAAAGGTGTTCCTAAGGCCAATGTTCATGACTGCTCCTCTCTACCCTGAATCTGTGACCTAAAACTGGGGGATGAACAACAAAGCTACCAGATGGCTCCTGTTCCTTCATTCAATCCTTGCCCGGGTATCCTCTGGGATCTCTTTCTGGGACCTTCGTTCTGCTCTCTTTCAGACTCTGGGTGCCAGAATGCTTCTTATTGCCACTTACTGCCCCTGTACAGATTTCTCCCTGCCCCACCCCACCCCATCCCAGTGTATCTGTCTCTTTAAGCCACCCATGGCTGGAAAAATGACTCACTGTGACTTCTTGGCTTTCTTGATTAAAATTCAATCTGGCGCATTCTTTAGATTTTGTCAAGGAAGAGGGAAAAGAGATAGATTCCATTGCTTCCTCTCATTCTACCACATTTTGATTATATATTATTTCTACTGTCACAGCTATTAAAAAAATTTCACATATATAACTTCTAAATCAATCTAACCCTCCTAATGTCACTGAGAACTCTAGTTAAAGAAATATAGATACCTTTATATTTGTCAGATTTTCTTGCCATCTATAGCCCCTAGATTTTGTTGTGTAGCATTTTATTGGAATGGTAAAATCAAACCAGTTGTTTGTATTTTTTTTCTAGTGGTAGAAAAATACTGTACCTTTTTTTTATAATAATGACTTGTTAAATTATTATTATTTTAATTATTACATTATTCATTAAAAAGCCAAAATTAATATTCATTTTGAAAGATCTTATCACAGTACTTGCATCCTAAACCAGCAATGCGAGAGAGAGAGAGAGAGAGAGAGAGAGAGAGAGAGAGAGAGAGAGAGAGAGAGAGAGAGAGAGAGAGATGAGTTCAAATCCAGCCTCAGGAACCCAGTAGCTGTGCTGTGTGACCCTGGACAAGTCACTTAACCAGTTTGTCTTGGTTTCCTCAACTGTAAAATATGGATAATAGCATCTACTTCCCCAGATTGTTGTGAGGATCAAATGAGACAATATTTATAAAATGCCTAACATACAATAGGTGCTTAATACATGCTTGTCCCCTTCCCTTCCCCTACAAGGGGCCCAGGCCAGAGCCAGGCTACAAACCTTGTTGTTTACTCACCTTGTTGGATGTCTTCAGGATGGGCACTTCATTTTCTGAGTTGATCTTGGCCTCCATGTCTTCCCAGGTCCTCTCTGTGTTCTGGAAGAGAATCCTGTGGACACATTACTGCTTAGCCCCAGGAAAAGTCAAAGGCTGGTCTAAAGCCCACACTGCCAACCTCTGTGCTTTTTTGGGATTCTCCAGTTATGGAACACTAATACGTGAGCATGGGTATGTGTATCAGTATGTATGCCCCTGGGGTAGTATAAGAAGCCCTGGGGCTTTGGAGTCCGAAGGCCTGGCTTCAAGACCAGACTCTACTACATCCTGGCTATGGCTCCTCGTTATACTGAAGGCAATGATGTCTGCACAGATTTGAACACACAAGGAGAAAATGTTTAAAATACACAAGCTGAGGTATTTTAGAGGCTACTTAGGTGGTACAGTGGATAGAGCACTGGGCCTGGAACTAGGAAGACCTAAATTCAAATCCAGCATCAGATACCTACTGGTTGTGTGACTCTAGACAAGTCACTTAACCTCTGTCTGCCTCAGTTTCTTCAACTGCAAAATTAGGATAATAATAACATCTACCTCCTAGAGTTGTTGGGAGGATCAAATGAAATGATAATTATAAAGCACTTACAGTGCCTGACACATAATAGGTGCTTAATGCTTGTCCTTCCTCCCTCCTTCTCCTTCCTTCTTTCCTTGAACATTCTCAGTGACAGTTCTAAAGGCACTGACTGAGATTCACAATCAGGAGATTTGAACTGTGGCTCTTATCAGTCACTCACTGTGACCAGCTGAACTGTGGATACTTACTGGTCATGGAAGCCCAGCCAAGTCAGTCCACCTCAATAAATCTGACTTCTCTCCTCTGTACAACGTGGGTAATATTTGCTCTCATTGCCTCACAGAACTTTGAAAGGATAAAAAGTAGCAGATAAGTGTGACACTGTTATTATGTGATGTTTGTGGGCATGTCTCTATGCATGAGCACATGCGTATGATGGTAACTATGTGTCCTTGTGGACATTCACACAGATATTGCACCATTGTGCATAGATACACGCGATGGGCGATTGAGTTGGAGCCCCAAAGTTTCCTTTTCCAGCTCTCCCCAGATCCAGCCCTACAGGACCCCCAGACAATCTCCCCACCTCCTCAACACTCACAGACACCTCCCTCTTAGTCCATCTTCTATTGCCAGTTAAGTTCCTTTAAGTTTTAAGTTCCCAGAAGAATGTCAGAAGACACGAGTTTAAGTCCTGGCTCTGCCAAAACTTGCGACAATTTGGGCGTGTCACTTCATTTCTCTCTCTCTCTGTTTCCTCCTCTACAAAATGAGGGAGATAACTAGATAGTCTCCAAGGCCACTTCTAGCTCTACGAACTCCTCAGATCCTTAGCCCAGGATGTCATCATACTCCCCCAGCAATGGCCAGAAGGATGTGAGGCAGTCCTGTCTGAAGCTAAGGACCCAGAAGCTCCTGCCCTTGACATTTTCTTCCTTTTCCCAAGAAGAGCAAGGGGTATGCTGCCAAATGTTTAACACCCAGCTCTCTCTAACAACTAGCTCTCTAAGAAAAAAAGACCAATGTATGCATGATAGACTTTTAAGTTTAATCTGAATTAATAACATTTTCTCCATCACTTTCTTAAATCTAGACAATCAATAATAAATCAAGCCTTGATTGGAAGTGTTTGCCTATTTCCAGGAAGTAAATGCTCACACCAAAAATTTAACAATTTGCTCTGATGAGCTCATTCACAAAGGCTCCAGCACACCCTTAAGAAGGGCTCCTAGAGAAGTACTGGATTTTAGAATTATGAGTCCTGGGTTTGAATCCCAGCTTTGACCCTTACTACCTGCATGATCTTGGGTGAGTCACAACCTTTGAGCCTGAGCTTCCCCCTCCATAAAATAAAGGTATTGAACTAGATCAGCAGTTCTCTATGGATTCCTGGGAGTCCCCAACACCCTTTTGGTGGATCTGCAAGGTCAAACTTATTTTTCATAAGCATCTAATATGCTATTTATCTATTAAAATACCCTCTTCCATACATATCTGTGTGAAGTCAGATTTTCTTAATAGGCTCTGACCAAAACAACAGATCATTACAGATTGAATGCAGAAGCTGATGAGAAAATACAGTTGTCTTCTATTAAGCCAGAGAGTAAAGGGATTTGCAAAACTATGTAAAACAATGCCACTCTTCTCACTAAATTTGTTTTAGAAAATGGTTATTTTTAATAAAAATATATTATTTATATTAAATACATCATGGACTTATTTTTAAATTAAATAATAAATATTTAAAATTTTATGTTTTTAATTTCTAATGCTATAAGTTTTGATAGCTATAACCCACATAAACCAAAAGCTCCTTTGGGGTCCCTCAATAATTTTTAAGTCTTGAGTCCCGAGTCCTTGGGGTGCTGAAACCAAAAAGTCTGATGTCCGAGGGCAACTTCAGCTCCTAAATCCTATGATCCCAGAGCAGGGCCCTGGGGGTTTCCTGGCATAAGGAAAGTAGATTGAACTTCCTGCTAGGAGGAAAGGCCAGGCCGCACATTCTGCTGACAAGAAGCTCAGTCACCAGGAACGCTGCTCCCTCCCTGACCTCCAGACGCGCTCCTTCTTTAGTCTGTCCCCACCCCCGTCCAGAAGAGACAGAGCAAGAACAGTCCCAACCCCAGGGGGTGTAGGGCAGAAAACTCACTTCATTTTCTCTGCGAGGTTTTCCGTGTTCTCCCGGATTGTGTGCGATAGCTGGGAAACAGGATTCAGCATCAGGTTATCAAAGATCACCTGCAAGGAAGTTAGCAGGAGCGTGGTTAATGTGGAAAAGGGGTGGGAAACTTATGGCCCAAGGGTCTATATCAGCTCTCAGGATACACTGTGACTTCCCTACTGTGATTCAAGAGACATTTAATTAAGAACTTATTATAGAGAAGGCTCTCTGCCAGACACTATCAAGACGAAACTTGGCAAAGATCTGCCCTCACAGAGCTTACCATCATGTGATATGTAATTTATCTTTGCCCTCTCCCATCCTGCCCAGCACCTAGCATAATGCTCTGTATTCAGAAGGCACCTAAGAAATGTTTGCTAATGCTAACAACAAAACAAAATAATAACTAGCATTTATATAGTACCTTAAGGTTTACAAAGCACTTTACACATATTATCTCATTTGATCCTCCCCAAAATCCAATGAGATGGATTCTATTATTTATTACCTCCATTTTACACATGACTAAGACTAAAAGAGGTTAAATAATTTGTCCAAGGTCACAGAACTAGTAAGTGACCAAGGCAGGATTCAAATTCAGGTCTTCCTGTCTCCAAATGCAGCACCCAAACCACAAAACCTTCCTGTCCTTGGCCCATCACTCCCACCCCAAACTAGAGGGCTGCTGCCAGACTGAGGCTCAGCCACAAATGTGTTAAGTCACTACAGTGTAGAATAAGCTTCATATTCTTAATTTTAAAAGGAAGTGCATTTTTGGCTTCTCTAAAGGGGAAAAAAACTGCGTTCAAACACCCTAACTTTCCCGTTCCTCAATTTGCTCATTTCACATGACCTATTCCTCTACCCCACCACACACAGGAATGGTCGTATCCTTGACCCTTCATCACCCTCAAATGCTCCACTTCCATGAAACTGTCAAATTCCATCATCTCATCCTAAACTGTGGTGATTCTATCATTCCCTCTGCCTTCCAGTCCCTTATCTTATTCTTTGACTTCATCCTCCACTCCCTCTATCCCTCAGTAGGCCATCACCTGTGCACTGGCTTTCTCCTCCTTCCCCATCTTGACCCCTTGGTGAACTAGTTCAACTATACACTATTTTCTACTCTTATCCATTTGCTCATCTTGCCCCATCAAGCCACACCCTTGGATTACTCCTACCAAGTGCTGCTTTTGCTTGTTCCCATATTGCTGAACAAAGATAGAGGGGAAAAAATCATAAAACTGTTGACTGGGTCCACTAAAATTAACCTCAATTGGTGCTTTACTGTTAACAAAGCAATTCTTTCACACCTTCCTAATTGACTTACTGCCCCACACACCATACCAGTTTTTTCAATCCTTTTCTTCCCTTCTCAAACTCTCCTTCCCCCCATCCTCTCAGCAAAGAACCTTGCCTCATATTTTTTTAAACATTATTTTTTATTTTTATTTTTAGGCAATTGGGGTTAAGTGACTTGCCCAGAGTCACAGAGCTAGTGCCAAGTGCGTGGTCTGAGGCCGGATTTGAACTCAGGTCCTCCTGATTTCAGGGCCGGTGCTCTATCCACTGCACCACCTACCTGCCCTGATTGCCTCATATTTCACTGAAAAGCTCCTTCTGTTTCTTATCACTCAGAATGCTTTTTGCCCCTACCTCCTTCTCTACTTCTGTCTCAAATGAAGAGGTGGCTTGTCTCTTTGCCAAGTGATCCTATTCCATCCCGTTCTCCCCAGAAGACTGTCCCTCTATCATGCCCACTCTCTCACTAATCTTCATTCTCTTCCTGTCTACTGACTGCCTCCCCACTGCCTACAAACATATCAATCTCTCCTCCATCCTCAAAAACCCCTCACTCGACCTATCTATCTCCACTGGCTATTGTGCTCTATTTCTAAAGCTGTCTACAACTGGTGCCTCCACTTCCTTTCATCCCACTCTCTTATTAATTCTATGCAGTATGGCTTCTGACCTCAGCATTCAAATTAAACTTCTCTCTCCAAAATTCCCAATGATTTCTTAATTACTAATTCCAATGGCTTCTTCTCAATCCTCATCTTTCTTGACCTCTTTGAAGCTTTTGACATTGTCGATCACCCTCTTCTTGATAACTCTCTTTTCTCTAGGTTTCTATGGCACTGTTCCCTCCTGGTTCTCCTCTTACTAGTCTGACCTCTCCCCACAGCTTTCTTTGCTGGATCATCCACACCATAGCTGATAAAGGTGAGTATCCCCAGGAATCTGTCCCAGGCCCTCTCCACATACACACAACTCCAAAGGACTCAGGATATAAAATGCTATTCACCTCCAGATAGAGAACAGATGGACTCAGAGTACAGACTGAAGCATTTTTTACCCTTCTTTATTCTTCTTGCTGGGAGGGAGGGAGGAAACGTGGAACATGGCTAACATGGAAATACTATTATACATGACTTCATATGTCCAATGGGTATTGTATTTCTTGCCTTCTCAATGGGCTGGGGAGGGAGTAGAAGGAAGGATAGAATTTGGAGCTGAAAATAAAAATTTTAAAAAGATGTCTACAGGACATCCAGTTTGAAATGTCCAATAGGTATTTGGAGATGGGAGACTGGAGTTAAGGAGACAGATTAGGGCAGGATAAATAGGTCTAAGAATCATCAACATAGAGATAATATTTGAATCATGGGGGGTGATGAGATATACCAAATGAGATGCTATAAAAGTGGGAGAGGGTGACCAACAATGTCAAAAGCTTCAAAGAGGTCAAGAAAGAAGAGGGTTGAGAAGAAAGAGGAGAAGAGAATAAAAGAAAGGGGAAGGGGGTGATAAAAAGGAGGGTGGATAAAAGAAGGCAGTGGTCAGAAGCAAAAGAGACTTTAGAGGAAGGACAGGATAAAAAAAGAGAATGATAAAGAAAAGAAAATAAGATACAGGTAAAGTTAGTAATCATAACTGTGAGTGTAAATGGGATGAACTTACTCACAAAATGAAAGTAGATAGCACAATGGATTAAAAAATGGAATCCAGAAATATGTTGTTTATAAGAAACACACTTGAAACAGAAGCACACACAAAGTGTTAAAATAAAGGGCTACAGCAGAACGTATTATGTTTCAACTGAAGTAAAAAAAGACAGGAGTAGCGATCATGATTTCAAACAAAGCAAAAGTGAAAAAAGGCCTAATTAAAAGAGATAAGCAGGGAAATTACATCTTGCTAAAAGGCACCATAGACAATGAAGTAATATCAATACTAAATATATATGCACCAAATGGCATGTCATCCAAATTCTTAAAGGAGAAGTTAAATGAATTACAGGAGGAAATAGACAGTAAAACTATAGTAGTGGGGGATCTCAACTTTGCCCTGTCAGAGATAGATAAATCTAACCATAAGATAAATAAGAAAGAAGTTAAGCAGATGAATAGAATATTATAGAAGTTAGGTATAATAGACCTCTGGAGAAAACTAAATGGGAATAAAAAGGAGTATACTTTTTTCTCAGCTGTACATGGCACCTACACAAAAATTGACCATGCATTAGGGCATAAAAACCTCACAACGAAATACAGAAAAACAGAAATATTAACTGTACCCTTTTCAAACCACAATTCAATAAAAATAACATTCAATAAAGGTCTGTGGAAGATTAAAAATTACTGTTAAACTAAATAATCTCATCCTAAAGAATAAATGGGTCAAGAAACAAATTATAAAAACAACTAATTTAATTACAGAGAATGACAATGAGACAACATTCCAAAATTTGTGGGATGAGACCAAAGCAGTACTTAGAGGAAAATTTATATCTCCAAACACATACATTAATAAAAGAGAGAAAAAGAGCAGATCAACAAATTGGGCACGCAACTAAAAAAAACTAGAAAAAGAACAAATTAAAAATCACCAATTACAGACCAAAATGTAAATCCTGAAAAATTAAAAGAGAGAATGATAAAAATGAAAGTAAAAAAAACCTAACTAATAAATAAAAGTAGGAGCTGGTTTTATTGAAAAAAAATAGACAAACCATTGGTTAATTTGATTAAAAATAAAAAGAGGAAAACCAAACTACCAGTATCAAAAATGAAAAGGGTGACTGCACCACCAATGAAGATGAAAATCAATCATCAAAATAAATCGATTAAGTTATTTTGCCCAATTATCTGCCAGTAAAACTGACAATCTAAGTCATGTGGATAAATATTACAAAAATATAAACTATCCATATTACTAGAAGAGAGAATAGAATACTTAAATGACCTCATCTTAGAAAAAGAAATTAAACAAGCCATAAATGAACTCCCTAAGAAAAAGTCCCAGGACCAGATGGATTTACAAGTGAATTCTATCAAACATTTAAGGAACAGTCAATACCAATATAATAAAAATGACAATTCTATATGAGTTAATTTACTTATTCAGTGCCATACCAATCAAACTATCAAAGAATTATTATAGAGCTAGACAAAATAACAAAATTCATCTGGAAGAACAAAATGTCAAGAATATCAAGGGAATCCATTAAAAAAAAAAGTGAAGGTAGGTGCCTAACAGCATCAGATTTCAAACTCTGTTAAAAAGTAGTAATCATCAAAACAATCTGGTACTGGCTAAGAAATGGAGTAGGTACAGATTGAGTATACAATACACAGTAGGCAATGACTTTAGTAATCTAGTGTTTGATAAACCCAAAGATCCAAGCTTTTGGGGTAAGAACTCACAATTTGACAAAAATTACTGTGAAAACTGGAAAGCAGTATGGAAGAAACTAGGCATAGTCCAATATCTCACCCCATAGACCAAAACAAGGTCAAAATGGGTAAATAATTTAGACATAAAGGGTCATATCATAAGTAAGTTAGGGAAGCATGGAAAAATGTACCTGTCAGAGCTATGGATGAGGGAAACATTTGTGACAAAACAAGAGACAGAGAAGATAATGGGAAGTAAAATATATAATTTTGATTACATGAAGTTAAAAAGCTTTTGCAAAAACAACACTAATGCAGCCAAAATTAAGAGGAAAACAAGAAAACTGAAAAAAATTTACAGCAAGTTTCTCTGGCAAAGGCCTTATTTCTCAAACACGTAGGGAACTGATCTAAATTTATAAAAACAACAGCTATTTCCCAGTTGATAAATGGTCAAAGCATAGGACTAAGCAGTTTTCAGAAGAAGATATCAACGCTATCAATAGTCACACGAAAAAATGTTCTAAATCACTATTGATTGGAGGAATGCAAACTAAAAGAACCCTGAGGAACCACCTCACACCTATCAGATTGGCTAATATGACAGAAAAGGAAAATGACAAATGCTGGAGGGGATGTGGGAAAACTGGGACATTAATGGAGTTGTGAACTAGTCTAATCATTCTGGAGAACAATTTGAATCTATGCCCAAAGGGCTACAAAACTGTGCATACCCCTTGACCTAGTAATACCACTACTAGGTCTATATCCCAAAGAGATCAAAGGAAAAGGGAAAGGACCTATCTGTACAAAAATATTTATAGCAGCTCTTTGTTGTGATGGCAAAGAACTGGACACCAAAGGGATGCTCGTCAATTGGAGGATGGCTGAACAAGTTATGGTATATGATTGTGATGGAACATTATTTTGCTATAAGAAATGACGTGCAGGATGGTTTCAGAAAAACCTGGGAAGATTTATATGACCTCATGCAAAATGAAGTGAGCAGAACCAGAACATAGCATATAATAATAGCAATATTGTAAGAATGATCAATTGTGAAAGACTTTGCTACTCTAATTAAGCCTAATCTAAAACAATTACAAAGGATTGGGGAAAAAAAAGCTATCCACCTCCAGAGAGAGAACTGATAAACTTTAATGTAGACTGAAGCATACTTTTTACTTTCTCTGTTTTTGTTTTGTTTTGTTTTCTTTTGCAACATAGCTAATATGGAATTATGTTTTGCATGAGATTACATGTATAGTCAACATAACAGTGCTTGCCTTCTCAAGGAGGGAAGAGGAGTGAGAAGGAGAGAGAGAAATTGGAATTCAAAATGTTAAAAAAATGAACGCTAAAATTTTTTTACATGTAACTGGGAAATGTTTAATGAAATTAATAAAAATAAATTTTTTAAAAGAGAGAAACATGCCTCTTCTCGGTTCCTGGGTCGTGCCCTCCAAGCATAATTGTCATCCCGATTGTCATTCATGTTCTGGTCAAAGTCCTTCAAGCCCATGGCACCAGGTGGCACCTTTTGGAAGTTGAGGCTGGCTTCTGGGATGTGCTGTACCAGCTGCAATGAGAAAAGGCACATAGAGAGAGAAAAGTTCTCTGGGAGCTAAACAGAATGACTGAAGGCCACAGACCTGACAGCCATGCACGCTCACGCGCACACGTGTGCGTACATACACACACACACACACACACACACACACACACACACACACGCTCATACACACACCCCTCTCTCCAAATCCACAGGCATTTCCAATCTGTCTCTGATATTTGTAGCACTCTTCGTCCTTTCCAAATAACTTTCCAGACATTGTCTCACTCATCCCCAACACTCTCTGAGGTAGGCAGAGCTGCTATTACTGTTCCCATTGGTAGATGAGTAAAGAAATCCAGAGAGGTTAAATGACATGAGGAATAGTAGAAAGATAGCTGGAATGGGGTGAAGACCCGGGTTCAAATCTCAGTCTTGTTACCTATTACTTGTGTGACCCTGGGAAAATCACTTCCCTTTCTCAACATGTTTCCTTATTCACAAAATGATGGGTCTAGGTTAGATGATCTTCGAGGTCGCTTGCAAGCTTTAAATCCTATAATCCTACAAATCATACAAAACATTTTATGTGAAAAAGTTGGGGAGACAAAAAAAAATCTAATGCTATCTTAGATCATATTAAGAAGAGGGGAACAGCATTCAAAATAAGGGAAATAATGGTCCTGTCACACTCTAATCTAGTTAAACCCTTGTTATGGATCTAACTGTTATGTCTAGTTCTGGTGCTATATTTTAGATAGACACTGATAAGCTAGAGCATGTCTAGGGAAGGAAGACCAGACCGGCAAGATGACCAGAGATCAGGCTCAGGATCCTGGATCAGTTCAAGGAACTGGCTTGGAAAAGGCTTAGGTGAAGGTAATAGCTTTCTTCAAATGCCTGAAGGGCTGCCACGAAGAAGATTAATCAGACTTGTTCTGCATAGTTTCAGAGGTCAGAATGAGAAAGGAGACAAATTTTAAGCCTCTTACACGGAGAAACTCCCACAGTGCCTGGAACGTAGTAGGTGCTTAAAAATGTTGTTTGATTAATAATCAAAATTGTCCAAAAGTAAAATAGGCTTTCTTAGTAGGTAATGAGGTCCCTATCAATGGAGGGCTCCTGGTGGAAGTTCAAGCTGCTTTGTAATAGGACCACGGTCTCCTCTGCTTTCCCATTATAGGGATTAGCTTTCCCTAAAAATGCAACAAACCTGTCTCTGGGGCCTGACAGGCCCCTGCTTCCACTGGTGCAGCTTCCTCATCACCTACGTCCCACTCACATAGAGTTGGAGCCTCTCTAACTTGGTGGATGTCTGAAGACCATGTGAGTCACCATACTCTGCCCTGCTGACCAGATGACCTCTACTCGTGGCCATTTCTATTTGGAGAAAATGCAAGACTGCGCCTATGGAAGGTAGGTGCCACTGTATCTTTGTTATATAGCCTTGCTGTGTTAGGACAAAGTCACCTTTTGTTAACTGTTCAGTAACTTACAAGTGCCTAGCTTTGTCCCCAAATTAAATTTAACTGATAGGTGTTGGATCCTCCCTTAACACACTTGCAGGGGATTGTGGAAAGGAAATTCACACTCAGGGTGTGGATTACACGCCCTCTGAGGTTCCCTCTAGATCTGAGACTCTATGGCTCCTCCTACAAAAATAGAATTCCAGATAAGAAATCCCCAGTTCCATCAAAGGCTGCTCTGCAACTGATTTCTGAAGGGAGATAAGCAACAGGTTCACACACAGAACTTTATTCCATCTCCAGCCACAGCTTAGCCTGGAGGTGTTGTGATGAGCTCTGAGGCTCAAGGAAGAGGAGGAAACCTTGCAACTTCCAAGAAAGTGGGGCAAAGTTTCCATCCAATTGATCAATCAATGAACATTTAATGATCGTTTATTATGTGCCAGGGTGGCAAAGTGGCACAGTGGATAGAGCACCAGGCCTAGAGTCATAAAGGCCTGAGTTCAAATCCAGCCTCAGACACCAGCAGTGCGACCCTGGGCAAGTCATTTAACCATCAGTTTCCTCATCTGTAAAATGAGCTGGAGAAGGACATAGCAAGCCATCCCACTCTTTGCCAATAAAACCCCAAATGGGGTCACAAAGGGTCGGACATGACTGAAACTACTGAAAGACATGTGCCAGGCCCTGAGCTAAGCCCTGATGGCAAGATTTAGGAGTCTCTAGCTGCTCCAAAGCGAGGATAAAAACTGTCCAGGAGCCAGTGCGGCCTGGAAAGTGAAGTCAGTTGCCCAAAGCCATACAGCTAACCCTCCAGGACACAGCCATCCTCCTCTGCCTGCACGTGCCATTGGACACAGCTGATGCCTTGGTTGGTTTTCATGAATCGCCTTTCTTTTTACTCTGTTACGAGGCATAGCTTGCTAGATAGCAGGGTAAGGAGGTAATTATTTGGAAACGGAAGTGATAAAAAACCAAAAGAGAGCAATAAAGATTTTTTTATCTAGAAACAGAAATGCTTATTGAATTATCATCCTGGACATTCATGGATGAGTTGACTGAGGCTCAGTGAGGCTTGCCCAGACTAGCACAGCATCATAGAATTTTGTTCTTTTAAGAAGTGGACAAGGCCTTAAAGACCATCTAGTCCAACATCCTCATTTTAGTGCTAGAAAAACTGAGACTCAGAAAAGGGAAGGGACTTGTTCAAGGTCACACAGCAAGTCTAAGCTATGGCAATATTGGAACCTACATCTCCTCTAGGAGACCTAATCCATTGAGCCACACCACCTCCCTATTAATCCTTTGTGTTAAACCAAGGGGACACAGAAATCTCAAGAGCCCTCACAGGGACCTTCAGCTCATGGCTTCCCTATCAGAATTTATGCAAGGTTAGGTCATATTATATGAGGCTCTGGTAACTAGTGGTAGCCACTCCCATTGAAGAAACTTACCTCCTCTCGGGCAGAAATAGTGGAGGCTGGAGTGCTGGGGACAGAGCTGAGTGAGGTGCCACGGCCAGTTCCTGAGGAGCTCTGGGAGTCTCCATCCCCAGCTACATCCTGGATCTCTCTCGCCAAGATGGCAACATCTTTCACCAGAGTCTGGCTTAACCTGCAGCCAAAAAAGATAGGTAAGGCCAGTTCAGAATATCTTCAAGTTTCTCAGAAGGCCAGAATAGCCCAATTCAGCTTAGGGGACAGGGCAGGCTCCATTAGGAAAGAACCCTGACCAAGAAAGAAGTTGCTCTACTTGTCCTCCAGTGGGGAGTGAGGAGGAGCTAGAAAAAGGGACAGACATAGCAGTGGCCTTAACCCTGGTACCAGGACCAGCTTTACCTATTCCCAGAATAAGTAGGCAATTTGAGAGTGCCAGCTAGGTCACTCAGGTTGGGCCTGACATGCCATAATCTCAGTAGAGTTGGGCCCAATGCTTCCCTATATAACTCACAGGGCAAATCCCTAGGAGATGATTTTTTTCTATTCACAGCACATCAAATTCTGAAGCGCAGACCTACCTGATTTCCTGCTGCAAAGAGACATGACTGGATATTCCATCCTCATCCTTAAAAACCCTCACATGACCAGGCCATATCTTTAAATTATTTATGCTCTTTGCTGCCACTTCCTCTCCCCTTACTCACATCTTAACCCCTTGCAATCTGGCTTCTGACCACATCATTCAACTGAAACTGTCCTCTTTAGATGTCAATTGTCTCTGATGGTCTTTTCTCAATTCTCAGCCTTCTTCTGATCTCTCCACAGCACTGACATTGCTGACCACTCTGTCATTCTGGCTGCTCTCTTCTCTCTAGATTTCATGACACACTCTATTTTGGTTCTCCACCAACACATAAACATACCACCATTCTTTTTTCCTGGATCATCGATATTACACCCTCTAACCATGAGTGTACCTCAAGGCTCTGTCAGTCCTGGATCCTCTTCTCTTCTCTGTACCCCTTCTTGGTGATTTTAACAACTCTTATGGGTACAATTATTACCTACATAGATGACTCATCAATCTACATAACCAATCCTAGTTTTACTCCTGAGCTCCAGGTCTCTCTTCAATTTCAAAATGTCCAACACGTCAACGTGTCATTACCTTTTTCACCAAACCGATCATCTTTGCTGGACTTCCCTATTTCTTTTAAAGACCCTACCATCTTTCAAGTCACCCAGATCCACAAATTCAAAGTCATCCTCAATTCCAGTAAGTTTCCAAGTCTTGTCACTTCCACTTCAACAATATCTCTCCCATTTACCCCATCTTATTCCCATCTCAGGGCCACCACCCTCTATCCTGGACTACTGCAATAGCCTTAGTGATCTCCCTGCCTTGTCTCCTCTCCAGTCCATCCTCCCTACAGCTGCCAGAGTGATACTGCTAAGGCACAGGGCTCACAGTATCACTCCCTGCTCAATAAAATCCAGTGGCTTCCTCTTACCTCTCTGTATTTGATCTAGCACCAAATACAAACTTTTTTTTAATTTAAAGTTCTTCAAAATCAGGTTCCAACCTTCCTTTCCAGGATTATCGTTCATTACCTCCTTTTTATGCACTCTTCGATCTAGGCAAACTGACCCCTCCCTATCTCCCATTTCTGTGCTTTTGTACAGCTTATCTCTTATGCCTAGAGTCTGCTCCCTTTTTACACCTACCTCTCAGAATTCCTAGTTTCAGGTTCAATTCCTTTATTTTTAGTTTCCTAGTTTAAAAGTTTAGCTCAATTGTCACCTTCCACATGATGTACTTCCCCAACCCCTTCCCTCCCCTCCTCCCCAGATGCTAGTACCTCCCTCCATCAAATACTTTGTAGTTAATTTGTATATATTTTATTGCGGCTTATATGTGTAAATGTTGTCTCCCATGTTGCTGTAACTTTGTATCTATCCTCAAGACTTAGTATGTCATTAGTAGACTCAATAAATGCTTGCTGATTAAATGTTTTTTTCCCCCTGAGTTTACCAATAATTAGACAAATGTTCATAGAAGAGATTTCAGTTCTGATCTTCCTCACAAAGAACAGAAGAAATCACAGGGTGATGATGTTTGGAGGAGGAAGGCCTCACATCCAGCTATCTAGCCTTACTATCATTTGTGACCTCAGGAAAGTTACTTAACATCTTTAGGTCTTGGTTTCCTCATCTATAAAATGAATGGGTTAGGTCCCTTCCACTTCTAAATCCTATCTATGAAGCCACGAACAAAGCCAGCCTTATAAATTTAAAACAAGAACAGTTCTCTAACCTTTGGGTATCCATAGAGCTGTCATATTATCCATCCCAGAAAAAGCTGCTGACTTAAGGGATACCTGTTGATTTTCCCCAAACCAGTCCCAAAACATCTCCATTCTCCCTTGAGACCACTGCTAAAATAATCTTCCTAAATGATTAGATCATTCTCCTGCTCAAAAATCTTCTGGAGCATTCTATTGCCTACAGGAGAAAAATATTAGTTCCTGATCTTGGGATTCAAGGCCTTCTACAATTAAGCTCCTACCTTCCTAGCTATAATATTCCAAGCAAATTAGACTACTATTACCTAATCTCATTTGTCCCTCTCCCACCATCATACATTACATAAGCCACCCTCCCATGCTAGAATTTACTCTTTTTCCATCTCTGCTGGATGAAATCTTCCTCTTCCCTCCAAGTTGAGCTCAAATGCTATCCGCTATTATGAAGAATTCCCTGATTTCCACAGCTAAAAGCATTTCCCTCTTTCCTCAAATTTTCTTAGAATACATTGTCTAGATCTCTTTTATCACTATCAGACCTTGTTTCATACTTATTTGTGTTCAGAGAATGGGAAGGAAACAAGCATTTATTTATTATAAGGCAGTGTCTTACAAAAGTTATCACATTTAATCCTCAAGACACAGAAGTTAAGTGCTCAGGGTCACAGAGCTAGTAAGTTTCTGGGGCTGGATTTGAACTCAGGTCTTCCTGACTTTAGGCCCAACATTCTCTCCACCTACCTGCCAATAGGATATAGTTTTGAGTTGTGTATCAGTAGGGCTCAGGCTACACTGAGCTATACACATTCACTTACTTAGTCCTCCTTTTGACTAAGAGCAAACATTTGTGAGAACAGTCAGGGCTTAATCCGGGGCTGGGACTAGGAATCAATATGTGTTTAGGGAATAAAACAAAGCTAATTCCGCCATGTTCAAAACTCTAACTTGGAGCCTATGAGAACAATTCCCAAGAAGTGATAAAGGGGACAGTTTCAGAGAGTCATGGGATGATTTCTATGGACTGATGCAGAGTAAAGTGAACAGAACCAGGAGAACAGTTCTTGCAACGTTGTGCAGATAAACAGCTTTGAAAGACTTAACTCTGACCAGTGCTATGACCCAATCACAATTCCAGATGATGAAGCATGCTATCTACCTCTTGACATAGAGGTGATAGATTTGGAGTGCAGATTGAGACATACACTTTTTGGAAATGGCAATGCAGGAATTTGTTTTGCTTAAATGAAAAGGATGGGGAGAGGCGAGAGGGAGAAAAAATAGATTATTGTTAATCAAAAAGTGAATTCAAGTTCAATCAAGAACAGTTTTCCAACCACTGGGTTATCCATGGGGCTATCATAGGGAAGAAAAGAAGCAAGGGTAGTCATATCCCACCTCCGACACATAAGTGGCTGTGTGACCACAGCAAGTCACAACTTCTGTGGGATCCAGCAGCTTTCAGAGGCTAAAGGTTATGGACGAGCTGCCAAAGTGGAGAGAGTAGGAAGTTCCCTACACTAAAAAAATCTGCCCTCCTGTTCCCTCTAATATAGAGAAAGCTGTTTTCCCTTTTGTGAAACATTAGCTGCAATGTCTCACTGCTATTTGGTGGAAAAGCCTTGGTTCTTGAAGGCTATGTCACTGAAGTCACTATGTTACTGGCTGGTCCTGCCATGCTGGAAAACACAGACCTAGTGACAGAGGCTGGCCACAGGGTGATGAACTTTCCTCCTCAACAACTCTCAAAGCCCATCTCCCAAACAAGAGAGGGAGTGTGATTTGTACTGATGGAGAGAAATTCCCAGGTTGATGAGAACTCCAGATCCTTGATATAGGGAAAAAGAATACTTCCAGGATTGGGAATCAGGAAAATCTGAGTTCAAATCCTGCTTTAGACTTACTATCTATGTCACTATGAGTGACTTGGCATTTATGGCATTCAATTTCCTCATCTGCAAAATGAGCAAGATAGATTCTATGACTTCTAAGGACCCCTCCAGTCTGTCAACAAGCATTTATTAAGGCATCTACTATGTAAGTACTGGGGATACAATGAAAGGCAAGAGATTGTTCTCAAGGAACTCATGATCTGATAAGGGAACCAACATGCAAATAACCATGTATAAACAAGCTATAGACAAGATAAATTGGAGATAGTCAACAGAGGGAAGGCACTAACATTAAGAGTGACTGGGAAAGGTTTCTTGCAGAATGTGGGATTTTAGCTGAAACTTGAAGCCAGGAGGCAGAGAAGGAGAGAGAGCACGCCAAGCATGAGGGACAATTCGTGAAAATGCACAGTCTGGAGATAGAACATCTTCTCCCAGGAACAGTAAGGAGACCAGGGCCAGCGGATCACAGAGTATTACGGAGGGCATGGGTGGCGGGGGAGGAATGAAGAGAGAAGGGAATATAAAATGTAAGAAGACTGGAAAGGCAGGCGGGAGCTAGGTTATGAAGAGCTTTAAAAGCCACACGGGATTTTATATTTGATCTTGGAGGCAACAGGAAGCCAGTAGAGTTCACGGAGTAGGGGACTTGCATCAATTTGACAGCTGAGTAGAGGACAGGATGGAATGGGGAGAGATCTGAGAAGGGGAGACCAACCAGCAAGCTACCACAATAGTCTTGAGGTGATGAGCACCTGTACAAGGTGGTAGCAGTGTCAGAGGAGAAAAAGGGGTGTACATGAGAGATGCTGGAAAGGTAGAACTGACAGGACTTTGGACTGATTGGGAAAGGAAGGGAAGGGAACCAACTTCTTAAGCACTTGGTAACTGCCAGGCACTGTGCTAAGCACGTTTACAAATATGATCTCATTTCATCCTTACGATGATGCTGGGAAGTAGGTGCTATTATTAATCCCATTTTATATAGAGGAAACTGAGGTAGACAGAGGTTAAGTGACTTTCCTAGGGTCACACAGCAGTTACATTTCTAAGGCAAGATTTTAACTCGTGTCTTCTGACTCCAGCACTAGCACTTCATTCACTGCTGCCTAAGTGACTGGATATAGGGGTTGAGAGTGAGGATGACTGGGAGGGTAGTGATACCCTTGACTGCAACAGGAAAATTAGAAAGGGGGGGAGTTTGGGGGAGATGATGAGTCTGTTTGGATATACTGAGTTTAACATGTCTTTGGGACATTCAGTTTGAGACATCCGATAGGCAACTGAAGACTTGAGACAGACTGAGAGAGGTTAGGGCTTGATAAGTAGATCTGGGAGCTCTAGCTCTTCATTGTTTTCATTTTTAACATGTGCTTTTAAAACTGTGGGTTCCAAATTTTCTCCCTTCCTCCCTCCCCACCCACCCTCATTGAAGAGGCAAGCATCTCGATACAAGTCATAGATGTGTAGTCATGAAAAACACTTCCATAGTAGTCCTGTTGTGAAAAACTTAAGTGTATTTCCCTTCATCCTGTCCTACCCCCCATTTATTCTATTCTCTCTTTTGACCCTGTCCCTCCTCAGAAGTGTTTGCTTTTGATTATCCCCTCCCCCAATCTGCCTCTCTCTATCAACCCCCTGCTCTCTTGTCCCTTCTCCCCTTATTTTCCTGTAGGGTAAGACAGATTTCCATACCCATTGTGTATGTTATTCCCTCCTTAAGCCAGATCCTATGAGAATAAGAGTCACTCATTCCCTCACCTTCCCCCATTTCCCCTCTACTGTAAAAGCCTTTTCTTGTTGTTTCATGTGAGATAATTTACACCATTCTACTTCTCCCTTTCTCCTTCTCCCAATAGAATCCTCTCTCATCCCTTAATTTTACTTTCTAGATATCACCCCTTCATCTTCAACTCACCCTGTGCCCTCTATCTATCTATACATACATATAATTTTTTCCCCTCCCACTACCCTAATACTAACAAAGGACTCATGAGTTACAAATATCATCTTTCCCTGCAGGAATGTAAACAGTTCAATCTTAATAAGTCTCTTATGATTTCTCTTTCCTGTTTACCTCTTCCATGTTTCACTTGAGTCTTGTATTGAAAGTCAAATTTTCTATTCAGCTCTGATCTTTTCCTCAGGAATGCTTGAAAGTCCTCTATTTCACTGAATGACCATTTTTCACCCTGAAGGATTATACTCAGGTTTGCTGGGTAGGTGATTCTTGGTTGTAGTTCTATCTCCTTTGCCTTCTAGTATGTCATACTCCATGCCCTGCGGTTCCTTAATGTAGGAGCTGTTAAATCTTGTGTTATCCTGATTGTGTTTCCCCAATACTTGAATTGTTTTTTTCTGGCTGCCTGCAATATTTTCTCCTTGACCTGGGAACTCTGGAATTTGGCTACAATATTCCTAGGAGTTTTCCTTTGGGGATCTCTTTCAGGAGGAGATCTGTGGATTCTTTCAATTTCTATTTTGCCCTCTGGTTCTAAAATACCAGGGCAGTTTTCCTTGATAATTTCTTGAAAGATGACGTCTAGGCTCTTTTTTTTGATCATGGCTTTCAGATAGTCCATTAATTTTTAAGTTCTCTCTCCTGGATCTACTTTTCAGGTCCGTTGTTTTTCCAAGGGAGCTCTAGCTCTTAATCTATAATAATCCTATGGTCCTAAAAACATTTAAGTACTGATGAAAAACAACAACAACAATGGCTCCTCAAAGCCTATATTTGGGTATCCGAGTGAAGCAAGGCTTTTAAACCCAGGAAGTTGTTTCCAATGTCAAAACCAACCTACCTTCCTAACTTTGCCTAATGCCACTTCTTTTCACATATTTAAACACCTGGTCAGGTTGGATAACTTACTTTCCCCTCTTCCCCCAACATGTCCTATAGCTTCCTATTTCTAGACTCCCTCCCCCACCATCTCTGCTGGTTGTTTTCGATAATATTAGTAAACACAGCAATAGCACTTTAAGTTTTACAAAGCACTTTATAAATGTGCCAGCCCCAAGAGGTAGGCAGTGCATGAATTATTCTTCTCTTCTTTTTACAGATAAGGAAACTGAGGTTCATAGTGGTGAAGTGGCCAGTGTTAGGTCTCTTGACTCTAAACCAAGAGCTTCCTCTACCATGCAAGTTGCTTCCTGACTTTTCTCCAAAGCCCAGCTACCTTCTCAATGTAGCCTTCCCTCATCTAAGCACAGACAATCCCAAACAGCAAAGAATCCAAAATTCAAGGTCTTTTGGACTGGGCACTAGACTGTTAGGAACTGACAGGAGGAAGAAAATGTGAGGGGGGCAGGGAAAAGTCAGCCTTTCTCTGACTATTCATTACTCTGTGGCCACAATAAGTCCCTCTCCCTAGGACTTGCATTAAATGACATTAGAGAGAGGGTCTGGGTATGTCTAAGGAGCTAGGTGGAACTTTGTAGAAGCTACCACTGGCACAAGTAGATGGTCCACACACAGAAAATGGGGAAATGATGGGAAATGAGCATATCACATTTTTGACAAAAACTAAATAAAGGATCCCTCTCCCCAAACTCTTCATATCTTTCCCTTCCACATAGGTAATAAGTTCCCTATCAATTCAAGCCTATGAGCACAGTTTAGAAGACCATAGAGTTACATAGGATTTAGAGCTGGAAGGGAACTGACAGATGATCTAGTTCATCCACTGTGTTTATAGAGGAGGAAACTCTGACTCAGATAGGTTAGTGACTTGCCTAGGGTAACACAGCAAATAACTAGTCCAGCCGCTATTTATAGAGGCAGACACTCTGATGCAGATAAGTTAGGTGACGTATCTAGGGTAACAGTAAATAAGTGGCAGAGACAGGATTTAAACCCAATTATCATTTGGGGAACACTTTCTGCTTTATTCTAGGTCGAACTAGATATCCTCTGAGGTTTCTTTCAGCTCTGAAGTTCTAGGATTCTAGGGGCTTCCCAGAGTCCTTATACTCACCTGGCAATCTCAGCGATCTCTGCTGTCTGTACCATGAAGTTGTAGTGCTCGGGCCCGTCATCCTCATCATCCTCATCTGTGTCCCGCCCATTATAGGGTCTGGCCCGGCCCTGGCTGGTGGCCCGCAGGGTCTGAGTGGCTGTTGAGGCATGGGAGCGTTTGTGTTTGGGAGAACTGTGGGTGGAGCCGTATTCCTCCTCCGAGGTGGATGTGCAATCTGACCCCTGCTGCCTCCGCCGGGCGTCTTAGACAAATGAATTGGTTTCAGACACAAGGAGGACAAAAACAGAAAGGAATTCAGAGCCCAGGCAGCCAAGGCCAAACCAAACTGAATAAACCAAACAGTGCAAAACAAAGTAGGGGAGGGAGCCGCTTAGAATCTCTCAGAGGCCCTAAAGAGAAGGAAAAGGTTTGGGTGTCATGAGCTTCCTGGACCAAGAAGACATAGCAATTAATGGGCTTAACAGTTAGCAGACTTGGCTTCAGGATCCATCTAGCGTATTGGCTGTGTGGTCTTAGGCAGTTTCGCCAAAAATGAAATGACGAGATTGAACTAGAGGAAATCAAAGGTCCTTTTCAACTAAAACGTTCTATAATTTGCCCACACTAATTAGCTGAATTACCTAGAATGGAAGTAGAGCTGGTCTGTAGAGGACACATGTGAACTCTCATCAGCCCTTCTTCACAGGAACACCTGCAGTACCAAAGCTACTACTGGAGCTCCTCAGACATCCCCAAAGTCACCATCATAAGGAAGGGGAGCTTCTTGTCTACATTGGGTCCCATATCTTCCCAGGGAAGTTCCATGGACACCCAAACCAGGCCCAGGAAATTAGAAACAGCCCAAAGCCACCCCATGTCATCCAGACAGGAAGAGAAAGGTGGCCCTTGTGGGAGAGATGAAAGAAAGTTAGGTTCCCCAAGGAGGGGCAAGTGACATTCTCCCCCATGCTGCATGCAGGCAAGTGTGGGCTGCCCTTGGTCCACCTGCTGGACTCTCCCAGGCCAACCCATCCAAGCTGCTGTCCTGGTCTACTGACCATCCAGTAGAGGGAACTAGCCCCATCTGGAACAAGGCAGGTATATTACTGCTGAAAGTTGACCAAGAGGAAGGTGGAGGAACCATGCCCAAACTAGAGGGGCTCTGACTGTTGAAGAATTCTATATTTTGTCTTGTTAGGTGAATCATTCCCTATTTGTGAGCCCTGTGTGTCCCAAAAGACAAGGCTCAGATCTCCTCCTCTCTATCCCCTCAATAAATTGTGGGCTCCCTAAGGACAGGGACCTGGTCTGCTCCTCCTGCCAATCAAAGGGCTAGGTACATGGGGGATCAGTAAAGAGATGCTAAGTTGAATTGTAAAATGAAAGAAACTGCACTAGACAATCACTAAAGTCCCATCAGTTCTAAGACTCTGAGGTTCCATAAACTGTTTATTTCTTAAAGATTTTAATTCCAGCAGCAACGGCAGCAGCAGGAGGGGCTGTGCTCACCCAGAAGTCCAGGAGGGGGGAGGCACCGAGACGCCAAAGCTTCCCTTTTCATTTGGTCTCTCCTTCCCCCAAGAAAGCCAGGCTGTCTCACCTACTGCCCCCTCCTCCCCAAAGGGCTGCCCCTCATGCAACTCCTGGAGAGCAGGTTTCCTACCAAAACAGTAAATGGTCCCAGGAAGTAATGACAAGTCTGGCTCAGCCAATGTACAAGCTTCTGCACTTTGGCAGCCTCTCTCCCTGCCTAGACAGAGACTCCAGCCTGGGATCTGGTAAAACCACCTCATGCTATGGCCCACCCCAAGTAAGGCCACCTTCTTCAGGGAGGTGCAGAGAAGGGAGAGAGGAAATCCCAAGCCAATTCAGCATGGACACACCACCAGAGAAGGTGGTTAGTAGAAGCTGACTTAGGAGGAAGGAGAGTCTGGTTAGCAAGGCACTGCTAACAGCTGGCAGGGAAGGGGAAAGGGAAAAGATAAAAAACAAAAATCCTTGCCTGGAGCCCCCAGGGTCTTATAAACCAAAAACCAATTCATTTGGAATAAGATTGAAGCGCTAGCTCTTTTCTGGGGTTTAATGGATGACCTGGGGCTGAGCCCTAGCTGTCACGAAAAGCCAGGAACATGTTCTGGGCCAGTCTTGGATATCCCAGGGGTGGCCTCTGCATGTCATTGGCAGTGACCAACTTCATTAACAATTTGAAAAGAAAGGCAAGGGGCATCTGCCTTTGAGGGCCCTAGCTTTTCCCTCTAGGTACAGAGATGAGTGAAGACAGCCCCGTGGAATTTATAATACTTATCATCTTCAAAGGAGGATTGCAATATGGCAAACACATGGCTGAACACAAAAGAGGAAGGCATTGTTTTCACAGATAAGACAGCAGAAGGGATGCAAGAGAACAGATGCACAACCAGGCCACTGGACCACCTCTGACACCCCTCCCCAGACCACCTCTAATACTGCTCCCTCTCCTCTCCTTCCTTCCCTGGGGCCCATACCCTCCTCTTATGCCCCTCCCCTCTCTTCATCTAAGAAGCACCTCTGATCTTCAGGACACCCTGTTGATCTACAATGAGTCATAACAGGAACTCAGCCCTGAGTCAAGGGTTATCGGTACCATAGGGAGACCAAGCAAACCAAGGTGAGGCTTGCACAGGTGAGAGATATTGCTCATCACAGAGGAAACAGAATAAGGCAACTGTCTCCACACAAGTACCACACCTGGAATTTCCCTTCCAAACCTCCAGCATTTTGTGGATGCCACCATAAAAGCCACCGTTGGCTGCTATCATTTTTGTATATCTACAGATATAAAAAATACACATAACCTGTGTTTCTCCCACTTTGAGCAGACAAACAGATTTGAGAGGGCCAGACCATGTCTTCCTCACACTAGAGCTCTCTAGGGGTATGGCCACATCTCACCCTCCTTCTCTCTTCCAGTGTTAAGTCCTAAGCACCGAGCAGGTAACATCATAATGACTGAGATTACCTCTAGAATAGGAGTTCTTAACCATTTTTGTATCATAGGCCTCTCTCACGGCCTGGTAACACCCATGAATACATTCTTAGAATAATGTTTTGCAATACATAAAATAAAATACATAAGATTACAAAGGAAGCCAATCATACTTAAACACAGTTATCAAAATATTTAAAAATAAGTTCATGGACCCCAAGTTAAGAACTCCTGATCTAGGGAAAGATTTTAGGGCCCCAAAACGCATCAGAACCCATCTCTTCTAATGCCCATCATCTTGATTCGGTGTCTGAGAAGTGGACACTGTTGACCTGATCAACCATTGGCCCCACCAGAGGCAGAGACTTACTAGAAGAGGAGGAATATCGGGCACTGCCTGAGCGAGCCCTGTTGAAAGGCTGTTTTGCTGCAGCCACAGCTGCTGCTGTTTTCCTGGCTGCTGCTCGAGCTTCTGACATGGTCGACTTTCGGCTTGAGTAGTAGGACTCAACACTCCTTCCAGAGAAGCCTGTCCGGGCTGGGGCTGACTCCAAATCACTGGGCACTGTAAATGAACCAGCCCTTTTCCGGGGCATGGCAAGAATGTCCAGGCGGGACAGCTTCTTGCCCTCTGTGGCCTGCTTGGTCGTGGCCTCAGGGTTGGATGCAGTGGCCCTTTCGTTCTCAGCCCCCTCATTGTCTGAGGTATCCCCAAGCCTCGCCCGCCTAAGCTTGGAGGCCCGAGTGGGCCGTGGGGTCGACAGGCTATTAGACCTTGTGAGAATCTGTTGCACCTTCTGCACGTTGGCAGAGACCCGGCTGTGTTCTTCCTTCGTGGCCGAAGGAGAAGGAGGCGGTGCTGTGGGCTTCCTCCGGGGTGTGGGTCTGACCGTCGCTGCTGATGGATGTTCAGGTTCTGAAGCGATGGTATCCGGACCAGATACGTGGGGGTGACCAGACACCCGCTCCTCATCTGTAAAGTCCAGAGATCCACGGGTTCCATTGTTACGTTTAACCTGGAAGCGCCGAGTTCCTTCTGGGGCTGGCCCTGGGCGACGCTGCTTCTCTGAGAGCCGTTCACGGGCACTGGGCACGAGGCCACCATTACTAGAATCCTGGACTGAAGGCGCAGATGATGGCCGCTCTTTCTGCGGGCCGTTGCCCACCGCCACCTTGCCCTTCTGGGTCTGGCTGGACCCATTCTTCCCACTGCGAAGGCTAACCGTGCTAGATGTGTCCACATCAGAGTCACCTGATAAGGAATCCTCTGGTTGTGTAGAGGTGTTCCTGGCATCCTCCCCAGGGGACTTGGCAAGGATCTTGGCTTCCAAAGCTGCAAGAGCCGTCTCCGTCTCCTTCAAGATTAAGTGTGTATCCTGAGTGTGGTAGTCCATGCGGGTGGCCCGGGCAGCCTCCAAGTCCTTCAGGAGGGGATGGCTGGATATGTGGGGGAGCCTGTTGGGAGCAATGCCGCTGCTTGCCCGCTCTTTGGTAAAGCTCTCCTGACGGACAAAGGATAGGGCCTCCTTTGCTACCCCTGCCGAACTCTCTTGTTCTGGGGACTGGTTGGTCTGTAGGGAAATAGTCATCTTCCCTGTCACGCTGATATATGTACCATTCTCCTCCTTGGCTCTGGACCTCAGGGAAGGGGAGCTGCTGACTGGCCGCAAGGGGGATGACTCCTGATCCACAGGTTCCTTGTTGGCTCGGGATGGTGGGGTACTTGGGGAGAGTTTGGAGGGGAAGCTGGGTTCCTTGTTTTCATCTCCAATATAGAAGGACATGGGGGCTGGCTCCCCTGCTGTTTTGGGTTTAGAATGCTGAAGCTCTGCCACTGGTGAATGCTGCTGGCCCCGGGGCCACTCTGGCCTCTGGACACTATCATTCTTTCTCTCCCCAGGCCCAAGCCCATCATCTGATTGACTTCCATCACTGAGACTGTCTGGGTCCAGATCTTCTTGAATGAACAAGTGGTCCACCGGGTTCTCGTAGGATTCTGAGGCTGGATTCTTGGCTGCATTTCTCTTGGTGACTTCAGGGTAGGGTTCTGTCCCCATTAATCCAGTCAGCACAGGACTTTCTGCTTTGTCACTTGGGGGTAGTTGGGGGAGTAGTCTTCGTGTTCTGGAAGGCAAAGTTGGCTCCAACTCCCCAACTTTGTGGTTGGTGACATCTGTGAGAGCAGAAGTGACAGATCCATTAAAAGAAAATCTGGCCCATTCACATCCTGTCCCCCGCCCCCAGGAGCACAGTTAGGTTATGACAATGTTGCAAAGTTTTATCATCCCCACCCCAAATCACCAACTTTCTCTCCCCCAAAGGGGTGTATGGAATCCAGGGTTCTCTATTAATCACCCAGCATATCCACAAGGTTGGACTAGGACTGTGGGATACTCAAGTACCCCCAATTCACATTTGTTCCTGCTGAAAAAATGGCTTAAAGGAAATAGGATAGACAAGGGTCCCAGGAGAACCTTCTCCTATGTCTAAGGATAAAATCAATAGCCCCTCTAGGGAACTGGGCTTCTTTCCCAAATTAGGGACCCAATGAAGATCTTTCTGGTTCTCTACTGCCTATAAAATAAAGTCCAAACTCCTCCTCCTGGCACTGAAAGGTCTTCAAAATCCAGCCCTACCTTCAACTCTAAACTTTCCTTCTCTCCTCCCGAACATGTCTTTTTTTTCCTTCCCCCTCTATCCCAGGCAAGCTAATCTCTTCACCAACCTCTCCTCTTGCCACCCTATTATCTAAACCTTATCTATCCTTCAAGCTCAAAACCTATCTCCTCCAGGAAGTCCTCTCTGACTATTCCAGCCTGCACTACCTCCCTGAGAAACCAACTCGTATTTCAGCCCAAGGTCACACATGGTCTTATGTTGTTGTCCGTCTCACTTCTTATCTCCCCAGCCTGACTAGGAGCCTCTAGGACAGAATGTCAAGATCTCTCCCAGGCTTTGACCTCTCTGACATCAGTGCCTGAATCTTCTCCTCTTGTCTATTGACAGTTTAGGGGCATTTTAGAATAAGAGTCCTTGCCTGTATGACAGGACCATTTTGTGCTCTGTTAAGTCTGTTTGCTTTTACTTCCTTGCTTATAACTGATAGTTCTTTTTTTAAATCTCACCCATGTATCAGAGGTCAGAGGGTGATGAAGGTGGCCTCTACATACCAAGGCCAGAAAAATCCAAGGAAACTGGAGGATATAGGCATGGGCTAATAGAAGTGGCAGAGAGATGGAGAGTCAGTCCCTTTAGGGGACTGACAAGAAAAGCAGGAGGATTTGTGGTGGCGAAGAAGTGGAAACTGAGGGGATGCCCATCAATTGGGGAATAGCTGAACAAGTTGTGAATGTAATGGAACACTATTGTGCCATAAGAAATGATGAGCAGGCAGATTTCAGAAAAACCTGGAAAGACTTCTATGGACTGATGCTGAGTGAAGTGAGCAGAACCAGGAGAACGCTGTACACAGTAACAGCCATGTTGTGCAATGACTAACTTTGATAGACTTAGCCCTTCTCAGCAATGCAAGGATCTAAGCCATCTCCAAAAGTCTCATGTGGAAAATGCTATCCACATCCAAAGTAAGAACTATGGATTTCGAATACAGATCGAAGCATACTATTTGCTATTTTTTTTCTTCTGTTTTGTTTCCTCTTGCTGGTGGTTCCTCCTATTGGTTCCAATTCTTCCTTACAACATGACTAACGTGAAAATATGTCTAATAGGAATGTACATGTATAGCCTATATCAGATTGCGTGCCATCTTGGGGAGAGAGAGGGAGAAAAATTTAAAAGTCAAAAGCTTATGGAAGTGATTGTTGATAAATCAAAATAAATTAATGAAAAAAATTTTAAAGAAAAGAAAAAGAAAAGCAAGAGGAGCAGGTAGAAAGGAAAGGAAATTCCAAGTAGGATTGAGCTCAGATAAGACAATGAGAACCAGTTCCTTTCCCAGGCTGAAATTCCCACTACAGTCTGCTCATTGGCTCAATTAAAGGGATTACTGGATGGTGCCACTACAGATGTCTGCTTTGATATCTAGAACTTTATGGTCTAAGGTGCATAACAACATAAAAATCATGCCATGTGCCACAGGGAAGCCAAACAGATGCCCTAATAATAGAATGAATCTTCTCTATTTCAACCCCACTTTGCATGGGGCTTGTGTATATGGAGAGATGAGAAGAGGAGAATCTTGAATTTTAGCAGTAGAGCGCTGAGGGTTATGAATCTGAGGGAAATGCAAAGGGTGGAGAAAGAAACTAAAAGCCATTTTGTAACCCTGCTCCCCATCAGAATGTAAGCTCCTCGAGGGTAGGACCTGATTTAACTTTATCTTTGGACTTGCAACATCTTACATTCAGTAAACATCTAGGCACTCAGTAAACATATGCTAAACTGAATGTGTTGAATCAATCAAGATAGGGAAGGCAGTATCCGCATTGCTATTCCCCAGCTGGAAACTGTTAGAGTCTTCCTAAAGACCAGACCACCTAATCTGGGTCTGATAATTCCTCTAGTCCTAGGCTCCACTTGGCACTAGTACAGAGTCAAAGGGTTAAAGTAGCATGATGTTGGGGAAACAGTTGAATTTAGAATCAGATGGTATAGGTTCAAATCCACAGAGGTAACTTTCCAATTATGTGGCTGTGGCTAAGTCTCTTCATTCTCTCAGCCTCAGTTGTCCATCTGTAAAATGGCCATAATAATTCGATACTTACCTCACAAGGCTGTTGTGAGAAAAGGGCTTTACAAACCTTAAGCCACTAAGGAAATATCAGTTATTATCGTCATAATCTGACTCTCCAGTCAAATAGGGACTTACCAGTCTCAGAGTCCAGGCCAGAGGGGGTTGACTCAGAGAGCAAAGTCCCTGGTCCCGGATCCAAATAGCTATCAGCCAGACTGGCCCAACGGGATACCCATTTCTGACTCCCTGGAGAGCCAGACACTGGCAGGACCTACAAAGAGAAATGCCCATTTGTGAGCCAAGGTGACCATTGGTGTGACTGTGGTTGGAGACCCCTGAGGGGCCAGCTCATTATATCCAATCATCTGGGCAAAGGGGTATTTGAAACCCATATACCCACCTGCCCCTAAACACAATGATCTCCTGGCTCCCTGTGTTCCTGACTCCCTCTAAAATCCCCACCTGGGATCATTTCCCACCTACCCCTTTCTCTGATGGACCTTGACACTGACTCAGAAAGAACAGGGTCTGGAGTCAGGGAACTTACTAGTTGTATGACTATGAGCAAGACCCTTTAGCTCCATGAACCTCCGTTTGCTCATCTGTAAAATGGATCTCATAGTCACAGGATTTAGAGCTGGAAAGGAACTTTGTGCCTCTCAGCCCAACTTCCTCATTTTGTAGCTTACAAAATCATAAATACAAAGCAAGAAGGGACCTTATAGGCCATCTAATCAACCCCCTGATTTTACACATGCAGAGACTGAGGCTTGGAGATGGAGAGGGACTGACTCTGGGGGGCACAGGTAGTAAGTAGCAATGCTGGAAGGGAAAGGGTTGTTGTGACGAAAGGGTTTTGTGAACCTTAAATGCTAGAGTTGCCATTATCATTATTAATAAAAACAGTAGTACTGAAAAGAAGTATGGCCTACTGGACAGAAAATTGACCTTGGAACCAGGAAGACTTGGGTTCAAACCCTGCCTGTGTGACTTTGAGTGCCTGGGCAACTGGCCTACCTTGCATGGAGAGGGAGGGGAAGAAAATATGTTTGGGAGAAGGGAAGGAAAGTGTTGGAGAATTGGAGGTAGGGCTGAATTGTGGAGGACTTTGAATGACAAGGGGAAGAGTTTAGACTTGATTCTGTAGGTGACAAGAAAACAGAATACCTCAGGGCTATCAACAATTCTTTAAGACTCTGAGTAGCAGAGAAGGTGCCAATTTTCATTGGTAAAAGGAGTTTCCTCATCTGGGAAGTTCCTATTCCAGTGAAACCAAAAGTTTAATCCCTATTGCTAATAGCACTAAAATTACTGTCATTATTTCATTTCCTCCACTCAAGTCCCACTCCAATGACTCATTTTGTCTTGGAAGTGATCCTGGAGTCTTAGAATACTACGCAAATGGAGCATGAGTTCAGCGAGCCCAAACCTGAAATGCTTTGCCCTTTGACACCTAGCAGTACAGGACAAGTGATATGCTTGTTTTACAAGAATCAATCCAGTCTCTCTAAGCCCAGAGGCTCATCAATAATTTGGCCACCTGACAGATCCATTTTTTGACCATTCATTCATTCATTTAAGGCTACCTACTGAGGATCAGAGGGGCTGAGATCTACATTGTTCAACTCTAGAAACAGTTATTAAGTACTTCCTGAGTGCAAACACTTAAGCAGTTGGGTGGCTCAATGGATAGAGCAATGCGCTTCAAGTCAGGAAGACCTGAGTTCAAATTTGGCCTCAGATACTTCCTAGCTGTGTGACCTTGGGCCATTCACTTAGCCTCTGTTTGCCACTGGAGAAGGAAACAGCAAAGCACTCCAGTATCTTTGCCACAAAAAACCCTTGGACAGAGGCCCATGGAGTCATGAAGAGTCAGATATGACTGAGACAATTGAATAACAAACACAAGGTACTGTACTGAGTAATAGGGATACAAAGAAAAAAGAAAAAAATCATCTCTGTCCTCTATAAGCTTACCTTCAATGGGGCCATGGGGATGGGTGCAGAAAAGTACCCACAAAGAGAAAATTAGAGCCTAAAATATTTTAAGTAATACTATTATTGCATGTAATAGAAAGAGCACTGGATGTGGACTCAGAGGATCTAAGTTCAAATCTTGGATTGGCTACTTTCTACTGCTTGTGTGACCCCTGGACAATTTACTTCCTTTTTCTGGGCTTCATTTATTTTAATCTGAAAAATGAGGTAACTGGACAAGATGATTAGGTAAGTGTCTTCCACTTCTAAATCCTATGATTCCATGTGATTTGGCTGTTGATCTAATCCTGACCTGATGCTATACTGGAGTCCCTTCCTTCCTATCATGCTCCTGTTTCCTGCCTATAGTGCCCTATTCTGGGACTGGGGTCCTGGTGTGCCACTTGGGAAAGGGGAGAGATAGACAGATAGACAGACAGACAGACAGACAGACACACACACAACACACACACACACACACACAGAGAGAGAGAGAGAGAGAGAGAGAGAGAGAGAGAGAGAGAGAGAGAGAGAGAGAGAGAGAGAGAGAGAGAGTGAGAGAGAGGAGCATATGTGAACCTAATCCTCTCCTCCTCCCTCTTTGGCCACTGTACCTGGGTCTCGCCTGGAGGAGACAGGCTTGAGGTCCTAGAGGCAAACTCTTGCAGCATGGCCAGCCGCTGAGCCACCCCTGCCTCTGCCATGGGGGGTGAGGAGGAGCCTGCTTCATCCTTCTCTCCACGGATAACTGGGCGGAAGGTAGCTGAGGTCATCTTGGAAAACTCAGGTGACTCAAACACCCCAAAAACCTATTTAAGAAACAGACTTGGTTTAAGAGGGATTCCCTGTTCATCTCACATCCCACCCTGGAGCAATTGCTAACAATGACAAGGACCATCTACTCCTATCTCACATACCCCAAAACCCTCTTCTAGTGACACATCTACCTTCCCTCATAGGAGAAGGGACTCGTCCAAGTTCACACAACTGGTAAGTGGTAGAGTAAGGACTAAAACAAGTCTTTTGAGGCTTTTTACTCCAAGTCCATGCTCTTTCCATCACAGCATGCCACTTCCCCTTTCACTGGGCCCTACCTGGTCAATCATTTTCCGTGCCTCCTCAACTTCCTTGTCCTGTGTCTCCGTCTCAATGGTATAGGTGCCAGCATCACTTAAACTGTCATCCTCCTCCTGCTTCCGGGACTTGGTCAGCTGGGGGTCAGCAGACACTGGGGCTGGGGAGGATGGGGGGACTGGGGGAGCTGTCGAGATGACCACACGGGGAGCTAGGGGTGCGGGCAAGCCTGGTGGCTGTTTTTCTGGGCCTGGCCTCCCTGCTGATGTAGTCTCCCGCAGGTACTCAGCAGCAAAATCCTGAGCCATCCGGGACCTGCGTCCCACACTGCCATAGAGTCGGTGTGTTGGGCGGGCAGCTGTTGAAGTTGAACCTATCCGATCCTCCGTCTTCTCTCGCTTGAGTGAACTGGCCCTCTGGGGGCCTGAAGTGCTTCCAGATGTTCGGCCTGAAGCAGGACCTGGGACAGCAGCCATTCCCCCACAGACACCAGTGGGCCCTGGCACTCTGCGCTTGTCTGCTTTGGGGTCAGCTGGCATGTGGGTGAAGGACTGGGAACGTTTCTTACGGGGTGTGTCTTCATCAAAGAATTCAATGACAAAGGCCTGCTGATTGTGCAGCATTTCCTGAGGGTCCCGCTTGATCTGCCGCTGCAGTCGGACCTGCTCTCCCATGGGGGGCTCTGCCACCGGTACTGGGGAAGCCTCTTTTTCTGCCTTTAGAGAAGAGGCTGCCGCTGGATCCTCTGTGTCACTCTGTGTGCCATCCTCATGCCGGTGGCCTAAGAGTTCAGGAAGTAGACAGTGAGAACAGCCCTGCTACCATGAAAGCCTCACCCAATCAGAAGCTGACTAATAGGATCAATCATTCAATCAGTTAGTCATCAATAACTTATTGATTGTGTAGATATTGTGCTAAGCAATGGATCATAAAATTTAGAGCTAGAAGAGAACTTAGATTTGACGTCTTCATTTTACAGAAGGAAAAACTGAGGACCTAGAAAACTGACTAAGGCCACACAGGTTGTAAGTAGCTGAGATGGGATTTAATCCTAAATCCTGGGATCTGACTTCAAACCCAAAGCAATTCTATACTGCATTTCCTCCCACACCTTCTGGGAGGCATTTCTACTGGCGTTTCTTCTGTCCCAAGCCCACGAGTCTATCAAAACTCTTAGAGTTTGCCCTCATCAACCCTCCTACCTAAAATATCCTGCATGAATTATTCCAGTTGATCTGGGGACAAATTTATATCATTACTTAGATATTTGTTATTATGTTTCTTTAGTTTTTCTTGCCTACATCCCCTACCTAAAACTCCCCAAGGGTCTGATTTCTACCCAATCTATGAACCACTTCCTTATTTCCCCTTTTTGTCCTCTAGTGCAGAAGTTTTACCCCTAGTGAAGTATATCTGCACTTGGGGGAACAGTAATGACTGGTAAAACTGAAACCACAGGTGCTCATTCAAAGACTGGACAAGTACAATGGAATAGAATCTTAGATCCAGGACGTTGGTGAGATTATATTTGTTGTTTCCTGTATGGCACTGTCCCAGGACTTTTACCATAGACTCCTTACAATTCTTCCCACCTCCACTCTCCTCACTTTCCCCATGGCCCTTTATACCCATTCTATCCTTCATACTGTTACCTTACTAATCTTCCTAATTAAGGATATATCATGGTGCAAGAGGAAACATTGACTCTAAAATCAGAGGGACTGGGTTAAATCATGACTCTGATACATGTTACCTGTAACATGGGCAAGTCACCTGACTTGCCTAAGCCTTGTTTGTTTTTTTTTTAGTTCATAAAATTAGAGAGTTGGCTGAGATGGCTACTGGGGTCCCTTCCAACTCTATGTCTATAATCGTATGGTCCCTACTCCTCTGCACAGAAATCTTTAATAGCAATTAAAGTAAAATCAAATTCTTATATCTGGTATTCAAGACCCGCCGCAATCTGGTGCCTCTCTGCCTTTCCAGCCTTATTTCCTACCACTCCCTCCCGTGTATCCTGTACTACAGTCACATTTGATATCTCATTGTCCCCAAATACTCTCTTGTGATTTCCCCGAATCTGTTGTCTTTATTCATGTTGTTCTCAAGGCTTCAAATGCCCTTTCTCCTCCTCTTCACCATTTGAATTCTTATGTACCTTTTTAAAGCCCAAAACATATGCCACCTCTTCCAGTAAGTCTTTGCCAATCCCACTCTTGCTGCCCATCACCACCCTAAATCTCATCATGTTTTGTATTTTAATTATCTATCTTGTTTCTCATTCTCCTACTAGACCATGAGCTCCACGCAGGAAAACTTGCATTTTATCTAAATGTTTTTGTTTTCCCCACCACCTAGCACAGGCCTGTTCACATGGTAGGTACTTAAGAAATGTTTGTTGAACTTGAATTTTTTTTTCTGGAATACAGCCCTCAGCATTCCAACGAGAGTAGAAAAGAGAAAGGAGGAATTCACACATACTCAGGCGCTCATACACAGTCATACACACGCATCACCACAGAGTCTCACCACATATCCTATCTCAGAAGAATGTTGGGAATTAGATGACTATATATTGCTACAGGCAATACTGGAAAATATTTTAGACCTGTCCAACAACTGAATGGGTGACCTGTCACTGAATGTCTTCAAATACAGGCTGAATAGCTACTTGTCAGGGATGTCAGAGAGAGGATTCTGCATAGGAATGAGTTAGACTACAGATTTCCGGGGTTCTTTCCAGTTCTGACTTTCTGTGATTCAATCAATCTGGACAGAACCTTATTAATGTAGTGGCTTGATAGTGCCACGGATGAAACGACCCTGATGTGGGTGGAAAGGTTGAAAGAGCACTAGCTTTGAATGAGAAGAGAAAGCAGAAGTTGGTGGCACTGGGAAGGACCCTCTCTCAAAGGGCCAGGCTCATCACTAGCTAAATGGGAAGGAAGGCTATTGAATGGAAGCACAATCTTACTGGTCAAAGACTGGATCATGAATCTTAGGATACTTGGGACAAGATTCCTATGTTCCCTGTCTTAATAATTTCATGCTCTTTAAGTTTATATTTTATCTTTTCTTCAAATTCCAGTAAAATCCTTTTGAGAAAAACTTGGCTGAATCTATTATGATGAAAACAGGGATAAATATAAAGTTCTACACCCAGGCTCAAAAAACCATCTGTACATGTGTAGGATGGAGAAAAATAAATTAAGAAGATAAAAAATAAATTAAAAAAAAATCTAAAAGTATAGGATGGGGGAAGTGGCAAGACGAAAGTTCATATGGTAAAGATCTAGAGATTTTAATGAATTATAGCTCAACATCAGTCAGAAGTATGATGCCACCAAAATGCCACCTCCTCCTCCAGGAAGTCTTTGTCAATACCACGTTGGCCACCCACCACCACTCCAAAAAGTCTATGGATGACACATACTAGCTGTGTGACCCTGGGCAAGTCACTTAATCCCAATTGCCTAAAAAAAAAAGTCTATGGAGTCTTAGGCTGCATGCAGAGAAGAAAAGCAGCATCCCCTGCCTAGTCAGACTGCATATGGAGTAATGCATTCAGTTCTGAAGGTCACATTTCAGGAAGGATATTGATAAGCTCGATAGTGTCCAGAGAAAGGTGACTAGGTTGGTAAACACATTTGCTTAGGGTCAAGAAGACTTGGAGAGGACATTACAGTGGCCTTCAAATCCTTGACGGGTTGTTATGGGACAAAGATCGGATAAGATTGGTTTTGCTTGGTCTGAGAAAGCAGGACCAGGAACACCGAGAAGTTGCAGAGATGATTTTAGCTCTACCTAAGGGAAATATCCTACCCATTACAGCTGGTTAAAAGCATACTGTCTTACCACAAGGAAGCTTCCCATTATTGGAGGGCCTAGGGCTGGCTGACCTCCTCTCTGGACTTTTGTGGAGGGTATTTCTGCTCAAGTATGGCTTGGAAGATGCCCTCTGAGATCCCTTCCAACTCTGAGATTCTATGATAAGACAGAGGGGGCAAGGGGTGACGCCAACAGCTCTGGGGGCCAGCCATGAAGATTAGAGCGTAAGGGAAAGTATGGATCGTGAATAAGGCTAAAAGGATCAGTGATACTCCTACCCTGGTATCCTATTTCCTCAGTCACATGCAAACAGAGAATCATAGTCTCACACAGAGTCTTACACAGAGACACAAATCTTCCCTTTCCCTCCCCCACTCAAAGTCACACTGCTATGTTTGTAAGTCCTACTTACCCTTCAGTGTCCGTACATGGACAGGCAGGTCACTCTTGGTGCTGTAGCCATCCTCCCCAGGTCCTGGCCTTCGTATCAGGCTAGGATCATTCTGTACCAACCAATGCGCTACCTTGCTCTGAGCAGACACCATGTCAGTAGGGGCCGGATCCTTCACAAGAGGCCGCCGAGGTCGCAGGGAGAATTTGGTGACATGATCTTTGATCTTCACCTTGCCAGGGCTACAGTCATCAAATTCAATGGTGAAGGAGGCATGGCTTTGTACCACTGGGTGTGCCCCACCCCCTCCGGGCTCCACGTCCTTCGTGGGGACTTCATGAACCTGTTCCTCCACGGACTTGGAGACAGGCTGAAACTCTTTCGTGGGGATCTCAAAATAGCTTGGCTCCCTCCGGAAGGTGAATGCTGATGGTTCCTGGCCATCCCGGTAGCTTGGAATGTTCCCATTGACCTCTTCATGCTGGGGAATCTCCTTGGTCCTCTCTAGGGGCAAAAGAAAGGGAACTAGTCCTATTGTTCACCAAGCTTCTATAACAATAACAGTAATAATAAGGATAACAGCATTAAGATTCACAATAACGTTGTGAAGTAGGAACCTACTTCCACATTTCAAGGACCTGATCTTTACTCAATGCAGGTTAGAATCTACCTTGAGGCCCCAGTGAGGGATTATGTGTAAAGTGCTTTAGAAATTATAAGGTCTAAGATAGCAGAGAAAAGCCAGGAAGTTGCCTGAGCTGTCTCCAGTTTCTCTCAGGAACTATGTTAAATCCAGCTTCTAAATGTATTCTGCAGTGACAGAACCTACAAAAAGATAGACTGAAACAAACTTCCAGCTTAAGATAACTTAGAAAGACTTCAGAAAAGATCTGTCTCACTTGGGTAAAATGAGAGTGCAGCCCAGCACAGGCAGTGTCTGGGCAAGGAAATGGGAAACTCTTACCCAAGGTATTAATTAGCAGCAGAGGACCCTCAGTCCTAGCTCAGCTGGCTAGCGGCACAGCAGGCCAGCTGTGAGGCCTCCAGCCACAGCACAGAAGGCAAACTGCCAGCCCAGGAACCCCTGTCACAACAGGTTTGAGTAGGCTACGCCACCCTCGTGCAGTGTCATAAAAAGCCAGTGACCAAGTCCCAGACCGCCAGCATAATAAGCTTGGGACAGTGCCCTCTGTACCCCAGGAACAGAGCTCAACTTTAAAATTCACAAAAGAGATTTAAAATAAGCAAAAAACAGAAAAGAGCCCTAAACCACTGAAAGCTACTATGGCAACAGGGAAGATCAAAAACTCAGAAGAGGACAACAATGTCAAAATGCCTATGTGCAAAGCCTCAAAGGAGAATATGAATTAGTCTCAAGTCCAAAAAGCATTCTTGGAAGACCTCAAAAAGGATTTAAAAAAATCAAATAAGAGAAACAGAAGAAAAATTGGGGAATGATATGAGAGCTATGCAAGAGACAATCAACAGCTTGGAAAAGGAAGGACAAAAATTGACTGGAAAAAACAATTACTTAAAAAATGCAATTGGGCAAATGGGAAAAAATCCACTGAAGAAAACAACTCCTTAAAAAGTAGAATTGGCCAAATGGAAAAGGAAGAACAAAAGCTAATTGAAGAAAATAATTCCTTAAAAATTAGAATTGGGCAAATGGAAGCTAATGACTCAGTGAGACATCAAAAATCAGTCAAACAAAATCAAAAGAATTATAAAATAGAAGAAAATGTAAAACACCTCATTGGAAAAACAACTGGCCTGGAAAATAGATACAGGAGAGATAATTTAAAAATTATTAGACTACCTGAAGGCCATGATAAAAAAAAAAGTGCTTGGACAGCATCTTTCAAGAAATTATCAAGGAAAACTACCCTGATATCCTAGAACCACAGGGTAAAACAGTATTGAAAGAACCCACTGATCACCTCCTGAAAAAGATCCCAAAATGAAAACTCCAAGGAATATTTTAGCCAAATTCCAGAATTATCAGGTCAAAAATAAAATATTGCAAGCAGCCAGAAAGAAACAATTCAGATATTGAGGAGCCACAGTCAGGACTACACAGGTCTTAGCAGCTTCTATTTAAAGGATTAGATGGCTTGGAAGATGACATTCCAGAAGGCAAAGGAGCTTAGATTACAACCAAGAATCAACTACCCACCAAAACTAAGCATAATCTTTCAGGGGAAAAAGATGGGCATTCAATGAAATAGGGAGACTTTTAAACTCTCGTGATGAAAAGACCAGAACTGAACAGAAAATTCAGTCTTCAAATACAAGATTCAAGAGAAGCATAAAAAGGTAAACCAGAAAGAAAAAAAACCATGTTATTCAATAAGGTTAAATTGTTTATATTCCTACATGGGAAGATGATACTTGTAACACTTGAGAACTGTATCTCTATTTGGGCAGTTACAAGGAATATACATAGACAGAGAATATAGGTATAAGTTGACTTTGATGTGATGATACAAAAAAAAAATTAAGGGGTGGAAAAAAAGCATTGTACTACAAGAAGAGGAAAGGGGGAGGCAGAATAGGGTAAATTACATCACATGAAGAGGCACAAAAGAACTATTACAGCAGAGGGAAAGAAGGGAGGGGGTGAGCCTTGTTTGAACTTTACTCTTACCAGATTTGGCTCATAGAAGGAATAATATACACACTCAGTAAGGTATAGAAATTTATCTTACCTTGTAGGGAAGTAGGAGGAGAAAGGGGAAAGAAAAGAGAGAAGGGGAAAGGGCTGATAGAAGGTAGGGCAGATTGAGGGAGAAAGTAGTCGGAAACAAAACACTAGTGAGGAGGGACAAGGTGAAAGGACAGATAAAAGTAAAAATAGGATGGAGGGAAATACACAGTAATCATAACTATGAATGTGAATGGGATGCTCTCCCATAAAATGGAAGCATATAACCGAGTGGACTAAAAAATAGAATGCTTTACTATGTTGTTTACAAGAAACACATTTGAAGCAGAGAGATATATACAGAGTAAAGGTAAAAGGCTGGAGCAGAATCTATTATACCTCAGCTGAAGTAAAAAAAAAAAACCAGGGGTAACAATCCTGATCTCAGCAAAGCAAAAGCAAAAATTGATCTAATTATAAGAGATAAAGAAGTAAACTAATTTTGCTAAAAGGTACTAAAAGCAATGAAGTAACATCTATACTAAACATGTATATATAGATATATATATACACACACATATGTATGCATGTATGTATGTACATGCACCAAGTGGTTTAGCATCCAAATTCTTAGAACAGAAATTAAATGAGTTACAGGAAGAAATGGACAGCAAAACTATATTAGTGGGGGACCTCTCCCTCTCAGAACCAGATAAATCTAACTACAAAATAAATGAGAAAAGTTAAAGAGGTAAACAAAATTTTAGAAAAGTTAGATATGATAGACCTCTGAAGAGAACTGAATGGTGATAGAAAGGAATATACCTTTTTCTCAGTGATACATGGCACCTACACAAAAATTGACCATGTATTAGGGCATAAAAACCTCACAATCAAATGCAGAAAGGCAGAAATATTAAATGTACCCTTTTCATATCATGATGCAATAAAAATTATGTATAACAAAGGACCATGAAAAACAGATTAAAAATTCACTGGAAATTAAATAATTGAATCCTAATGAATGAGTGGGTCAAACAACAAACAACAGAAATAATACTCTCATCAAAGAGAACAACAATAATGACATAACATACCAAAATTTATGGGATGCAGCCAAAGAAGTTCTTAGGGGAAATTTTATATCTCTAAATGCTTACATGAATAAAATAGAGAAAGCACAGATCAATGAATTGGGCATGCAACTTAAAAAACTAGAAAAAGAACAAATTAAAAACCCCCAATTAAAAACAAATTAGAAATTCTGAAAATCAAAGGACAGATTAATAAAATTGAAAGTCATTAAACTATCAAACTAATAAATAAAACTAAGAGCTGGTTTTATGAAGGAAAAAAAGCAATAAAATAGATAAACCTCTGGTTAATTTGATTTAAAAAAAGAAAAAGAAAACCAAATTACCAGCATCAAAAATGAAAAGGGTGAATTCACCACCAAATGAAGAGGAAATTAAAGCAATAATTAGGAGCTATTTTGCCCAACTGCATGCCAATATATCTGACAATCTAAGTGAAATGGATGAATATTTACAAAAACATAAATTGCCCAGATTAAGAGAAGAGGAAATAAAATACTTAACCCCATTTTAGAAAAAGAAATTGAACAAGCCATCAATGAACTCTCTAAGACAAAAAAATCTCCAGGGCAAGATGGATTTATAAGTGAATTCTACCAAATAGTTAAAGAACAATTAATTCTAATAATATGTAAACTATTTGGAAAAATAGGCGAAGAAGGAATCCTACCAAATTCCTTTTATGACACAAATATGGTGCTGATACCTAAACCAGGAAAAGCCAAAACAGAGAAAGAAAATTATAGACCAATTTACCTAATGAATATTGATGCAAAAATTTTAAATAAAATATTAGCAAAGAGATTACAACAATTTATCATGAGGATATTAATGTGAGCTGAGATATGTGGCCCAGTTCCAAGAATTTGCAATTATCTACAATTTTTGTGTCACCAATCTTATCTAGCACAATGGCTCTAAGACATCCCACTGCATCAACTTCAAACACCTCTTCTTGGCATCCAAGGACATTCACAACCGAGCTTCCAGTCCCCTACTCTACAACTTCAACTCCCTCTCATTTTCATCATGGGGCCTTTGCTCCAGTCAGATGGGTCTCTTCATATGCCAGCCATGATGTGTGACCCATCTGGCCGTGTTATTTGTGGATAACTCTCTGACTTGGACTGGAGTCCAGTCTCTCCCACTGACTAGCTGTGTGACCCTGGGCAAATCATTTCACCTATCTGCCTCAGTTTCCTCAACTGTAAAATGGGGATCATAAAAACACCTACCTCCTGGGGTTGTTGTGAGGATCAAACGAGACAATATTTGTAAAGTGCTTAGTACAATGTCTGGTACACAGTAGGTACTAATAAATGCTTGGTCCCTCTCTCCCTCACTCTCTCACTGATTTTCCTCGTCATTGAGCTCCTACAAGCAAATTGTGCTAGGTTTAACTCAGGTCAGCACTGGATGACACATTCTCTAATCGAGGGAACTGTTCCATATGGGTCAGTGTGGTTCCTCTCCACCCCAGATTATTAATGGGTACAGGGCCTGGGGTTGTTCCTCTGTTGCTTCTTTATTTGAAACATTTGTTGTCTATAACCCTTATTTTGCTTTTTCAGGCACTTTTTTGGGACCAAACCTGGGATTTCACTGGGGCTGTCATAAGACACAATACTCCCAGGACAGGGCTGAGGTTTCTCCTCTTTGTGTCTCAGGCCCTGAGCTTGTTGAGGATAGGAAACTTGTTTCTTCTTCTCCATACCCCAGACTTTTGACATTCCTGAGGTCAGGGGTCCTGTCTCCTTATACAACCAGAGGCAACCATAGAGCCAAGAGTCAATGATGTCCTAGTGTCAGTTTTATGGACTTGGTCTAGAGCTGGCCTCAGACCTGGGAACATGAAGCCAGTCCTGGGCACCGGTTCCTGGCCTGGAGTCTTACCTGGATAATGATCCTCTTGGTGCTGGTCATCTGGCCTGTCCAATTTGTTGTTGCCATCATCCTCCCCCCACCATGAAGGCTGCCCGTATAGTGGTGTGCGGTAGGTCAATGGCTCTGGAAAGAGAAAAGAAGAAATTTCTGTCACTTCAATAGCTCAGTTCCAAAAGCAAGGCCAGCAGCCTCCCCCATATGGAGGGTGACATTTCCTAAAAGAAGTCCAGTTCATGGGATCTTAGATATAGACCCAAAAGGGATTTTAGAAGTCATTTAGTTCAAAGCACTCATTTTACAATTAAAGAAACTGGAACCCCAGAGAGGGGACGAGACTTTCCCAAGGTTATATAGGGAGTAACAGAGCCAGGAAGTGAACCTCAACTCTCTGACTTCAAATTCTGGTGTCTTACCCCTACACAACAAAGTTGCTTGAGCCCTAAAACCCATAGGGGTAAACCTGGGGCTCTGCAAATTCTGCAAGGACCTTCCCAGTCCAAGGACAGTGTTATTACCAATAGCAAGGTCTTAGCATTGATACCAATTAAAAATAAGACTATTAAAAGAGAGAGCACTTGAAAGTTTACAAAGCACTTTGATCATAACAAACCTATGGGTTAAGAAGTACATGTATCATTTTCCCCATTTTATAGAGACTCCAGGAGGTTAAAAGATTTCCCCAGGGACACACACCTAGTAAAGACTCAAAGTCAGGATCTAAACTCAGGTCTTTCTTGACTGCAAGTCCAAAGCTCTCTTTCCATGAGACCACAGTGCATTATATTTCATTATATTCTCATTCTGCAAACATTCATCAACCCCAGGGGACAGATCATATTCTTTTAACCAGAATACCAAATTATCCAGAGCACTCTCATTCCCCAAAACCTGATAGATAAATGGGATTCTCATCTCCTCCAGCCCTCCTGACTTCTATAGATCAACTTAGGACCATACATCTAAATCTAAAAGCTGGGAGAGACCTTTAAAGTCATCTTACCCCAAACCTCTCATTTTAGAGATGAAGAAACTGTGTAATCTTGCCTAAGATTACACAGAGAGTAAGTAGCAAAGTTAGGATTTAGACTTAGCACCTCTAACTCCAAGCTCATCCTTCTTTCATTGTCCCAATATTACACCTCTCCAAATGCAACCCTTGTCTAAAGTAGCATAGTGCCTAACACATAAATGCTTCCTTCCTTCTATAACCCTTATTTTACTTCTTCCTGCACTTTTTTTGGGTGTCTGAATTTGCTATTTCATTGATATAGACACTCCTAGTGAGGATACTTTCTGTATTAAAGCAGATCAGCAACTACTCTCTGAGTCCTCTGGTCCAGAGTTGTCTGGGGCATTGAGACTTTAAGTGACTTTCCCAAGATTCCATGACCTGTGTCAGAGGAAAGACCTGATCTCAGGTCTGCCTTATTCCAAAGCTGGCTCTCTCTCCTCTCATCTTATGAACAACAACAGCTTGCTTACACATAGACTTTAGGAGGAGACAAATGCTAAGAGGAGGAATGAATGACTGGCCCCAACATGGTTACAAAGCACTGAAAACCCACCTCACACTGAGATTTTCTGATGCAGGGGTCTTCCCACTGCACTAATCTGCGTCCTGCCACCTAGTGCATGTGCTTTTTAAATATCTGATAATGAAAAAGGTGATGGATGCTGCAAGACACTAGTGGAACTCAATGATCAGAGAGCAACCTACAAAGGAAAGTAAAAACAGTTTAATGGCTAAAGGAGGGGAAAAGGAAGGAAAGAAGACAGGGAAGGGAGAAAGGGAAGAAGAGAGGAAAGAAATAAAGGAAGGAGGAAAGGAACAGGAAAAGAATAAAGAAATGAAGAGAAGAAGAAAGGAAGAAGGGGAAAGAAGAAAGAAAGAAGGAATAAGGAAAGGAAGAAGAAAGAATAAAAGGAAAGAAGAAAGAGGAAAAGACAAAAGAAGGAAAGGAAGAAAGAAGGAAGGATAGAAAGGGGGTGAGAGAGAGAGAGAGAGAGAGAGAGAGAGAGAGAGAGAGAGAGAGAGAGTCAGAGTCATTGTGGCATTTAAAAAAAAGCCTAGCCAAAAGGAATCACAGATAAGCAGGACAGCTTTGAAAGCTACAAGTTTATATATTATATATTTTAAAACAAAAGCAAGCTATAAATAACAGAGATTAGAAGTTTCATGTACACTCCTCTTTCCCTGTACTACTATGTAAATAGAAATTCCCATTTTATTTTATATTTACTAAATTCTGAATAAATATGTATATTTTAATTTCAATAAACATTGAGGATTTTTTAAGATGTATCTGGTAACATCAGTTGAAATTCATTCAACCATTTTCTACAGACTGATTTTATAACTCCAGATGATCTCTATCTCACAACAATGTTTATTTAAAATAAAAAATTAAAATGGTGATAAATAAACAAAATAAATGAATGAGCTACTATCTAGACGTGCTTAGCCTCGAGATGAGCTTACATCCTGCACTAGAGGGCACTGTGAACCGCATATCTTAAGGTAACAATGTCCTGCCTTTCAACCTCTGCCTCAAAGCTCACTGAGGGGCCGGGAAGCACTTACAGGTTTCATAGGATTTAAATCTAGAAAGGGACGTTAGAGAGGATCTAGCTGAACCCACTCATTTAACAGATGAGGAAACAGAGATTCAAAAAGTGATTTACTCAAAGTCACATGAGTAATTAGTGGCAGAGCTCGGATTTGAGTAGATTCCTAATCTTGTCTTCTTTCTACCATGACACCCTCCCTTATCCATCACCACCTGACAGATCCCTCCCAAAATCTCCTGCTCCAACACTGAAATACTAGTTTATATGTTGTTCATGAACATATGCAGATAGGCAGCCTCAAGTGCAGTAACAAGAGAACTGGACTTGGGAACATAAGCCATGAATTCAAGTCTATTGACCTTGGGCAAGTTACTTCACCTGGCTTCAGTTTTCCTTATCTGTAAAATGGGGACAATGTGAACTGCATTAACTCACAAAGTCATTGTGAAAAAAGTTTGTAAGGCTTAAACACTACACAAATGGGAGCTATTACTAATTGTGGCAGCTTTGTGTTATAGCAGGTAGAGCACTAGATGTGGAATCAGCAAGAACTGAATTCAGTGGATGACTCAGAAATTTACTAGCTGTGTGGTCCTGGGTAAGTCATTTAACTTCTGTCTGCCTTTGTTTCCTTATCTGTAAAATGGGAATAAATAATGGCATCTACCTCCCAGGGTTGTTGTCAGAATCAAATGGTGCAATTTTTGTAAAATCCTCTGCAAATCTTAAAGAACTATATAAATGCTAGCTAATGATTATTAATATTTCATAATCCCTAGGCTGAGGAAAGACATACTTTGTCACAAGAAAGCCAACCAAGCTGGGCTATGGCTAGACTTTATCTAAGTATTCTAGTTCTATAAAGGGCCTTTTTATAGTTTTCTTTATTACAATTCAATATACATTTATTGAGTACCTACTGTGTACAAAGCACTGTACTACTATTATTGTCAATGTTAATAAAGATAGCAGCTCATAAATAGAGAGTGCTCATGTCACAAATTCTTATTCATAGTCGCAGAGACAGCTACGGCCTAGTGAAGAAGAGCCAGCCCTGATATCTAGAAAACCTGCAGTTCAAATCCTCCGTCTGACACTCATTAGCTATGGGACCAAGGCAAATCATTTAACCTCAGAGTGCCCCACATAGCTCTCTAGGACTAAGCTACAGAATCCTAGGCAATCCCTACACCAGTGAAATCACGGGTTTGGACAGAAAGAAAAAAAAGGCCACAGAACATCAATGCCAGGAGGATCCCAAGGATCCACCCAAGAACAACCCATCCTGGGCCACTGAGACTCAGAGGGAACAGGAGAGTAAACAGCCCAAGGTTCAACCAACATTTCTCAAGCACCTATGATGATGGAAAGGATTTTATAATTTTTTTTATTTTTAATTAATTTATTTTGATTTGTCAACAATCATTTCCATAAGCTTTTCAGTTTTAAATTTTTCTCCTCCTCCCTCCCCATTTCCCTCCCTAAGACTGAGGGCAATATGATACACACTATACCTATACATTCCTATTAAATATATTTTCACGTTAGTGAATGTTGTAAGTAAGAATTAGGACCAATAGGAGGAACCACCAGAAAGAGGAAACAAAACACAACAAAAGAAAAAAATAGCAAATAGTATGCTTCCATCTGCATTCAAACTCATAGTTCTTTCTTTTTGGGGAATGCCATTTTCCATCATGAGGCCTCTGGAGATGTCTTAGATCCTTGTATTGCTGAGAAGGGTTAAGTCTATCAATATTAGTCGTCACACAATGTGGCTGTTACTGTATACAACGTTCTCCTGGTTCTGCTCACTTCACTCAGCGTCAGACCATACAAGTCTTTCGAGGTTTTTAGGATTCTGTAATTGGCATGGATATCAACCCACTTTCATAGACAGGTAATGGTTCTTGGTGATGTTTGTCCAGCTAGGAACATTTTTTTTCTTTTTTTTAATTTTAATTAATTTATTTTGATTTATTAACAATCACTTCCATAAGCTTTTGAGTTTTAAATTTTTCTCCCCCTCCCTCCCCATCTCCCTCCTCAAGATGGCGCGCAATCTGATATAAGCTATACACACACACACACACACACACACACACACACACACACACACACACGGAACATTTTCTTTCAGCAAAGAGGGACTTCAGTATCTCCCTCTGTAAACACTAATTTCTTAGAAAAGAATCCTACACCAATTTATCCACAGTGAAGAAGAAAGCTTTTTCTCAGACCTCTCCCTCTTTCTAGGTTGGGTTCGGTCCACAGGGCCAGACAAACTTGAGGGAGTTGGAGAAGACCAGCCCAGAAGTGGAGGTGGGAGCACCACAAACACAGCTTGTCCCCTTCACCATCCTCCCCAGGCATCCTCAGATGACCAGGCCTCAATAACCACAGGCTGCAGTAACATGAGCCTGGGCCAAGGCTAAGCTCAGTTTCACCTCAAACCCAAAGAATTTCTGAGAAAAACTAGAAAAGGAAAAAGCTACTACAGAAACTATGAGAAGGCCCAACCCTCAAGATGCTGGGTACGGCCTTAGAAGTGGAAAGCTTTCTGCTACATACAGAAAGAGATACTGAAGAGAACAATTGGAAGGCTTGGGTTCAAATCCTGATTTTGCTACTTAGTAGCTGCCTTCAGTTTCCTTATCTATAAAATAAGGGGGACCTATATGTACAAAAGTATCTATAGCAGCTTTTTGTGGTAACAAAGGACTGGAGACCAAGGGGATGACCATCAATTGAAAAATGGCTGAATACATTTTAATACATAAAAAGAACAGAATACCAGTGTGCCATACTGCTGAAATAATGTAGGAGAGGAACCTTCCCAGACAAACCTGGGAAGACTTGTATGAACGAATGCAGAGTGCAGTGAGCAGAACTAGAATGATTTATACAGCAACACCAAAGACAAACAACTCTGAAAAATTCTAGAACTCTGATCAACACAGTGACAAATCACAGTGCCAGAGGACCAATAATGAAGCTGCCCATCTCCTGACGGGTAGGTGATAGACTCGAAACGAAGAATAAAACAGACATTTTCATACATGACCAATCTGCAAAAGTTTTTATCTTGATTCTGCACATTTGTTACAAGGGTTTTCTTTTTCTTTCCTAGTGTGGGTGGGTGGGAAATTGGGAGGGAAAAAAAAATCAGTGCTTGCTAATTGAAAAAAATTTGGGGAAAACATACAAAGTATATAAATGTTGAAAAAAGTAAAATAAAGGAAGAGTGAAACAGATTATCTCTAAGACCTAATTTAGCCACAACTCTTAGGGACAGCCAGGTAGTAGAATGTTTGGCTTGGAATCAGGAAGACTCATTTTCCTGGGTTCAAATCTGGCCTTAGACATTTACTAGCTGTATGACCTTGGGCAAGTCACTTAACCCTGTTTGCCTCAGTTTCCTCATCTGTAAAATTGGCAAACCACTCCAGTATCTTTGGCAAGAAAACCCCAAAGGGGTCATGAAGAGTTGGACATGACTGAAACAACTAAACAACAAAAGCCCCAACTCTTATGATTCTAAGTTCTCCACTATAGAAATAAGAGCTATTAATTATGACAGTGAGGTGGCACAATGGAGTAAGAAAGCCCTGAATTCAAATCCTCAGACACTTATTAGCTATGCAACCCTGAGTAAATCACTTAGCCAATTTGTCTCTGTTTCCTCACCTGCAAAATGGGGGTAATAATAACACCACCTCCCAGGTGAGCTCCATGAGGGCAGGGTCTATCTTCTGCATTTTTTTTTTATCCCTGGCACCTAGTACAGTGCCTGATATACAGCAGATACTTAACAAATGTTTCCAGAGAATGGAGCCACACCATCCTCCAAAGCTGACACAATAGTCTAGCAGCTTCTAATACAAGTTACCAGATTTACAATAATCTGTCCTCACAATAATTCTGTAATATAGGTACTGCAAACATTATTATCTTTATTTTACAGATGAGGAGACTGAGGGTAAGTGACAGACAACACACCATGGGGCCCACAGCCCTGCAGCCTAATGCTGCCAACTGTTCTGGTGAGCTACCCAGGAACCTGTGACCAGACTGAACTAAGGAGCAAGAGCTAGGGGCTGAAATGGGTTTCACCTCCCTGGAGAAACTGAGGAGCAAATCTTAAAGAGTTGTATAAATCCCAGCCATTACTGTTACTTCAGCTCTTATGAACTCTCTGCCTGGTATGTCGTTCTACAAGTCCATGAGCTCCCTGAGGGCGGAGCTCGGATCGGTTCCTCCACTGTCTCCCCTAGACTATAAGCTCCCTGATGACCAAGCATGCCTTTTCAGGTTCCCCTGCAACACCAAGCACAGAGCCCTTACACCAAGTAGATGAGTTAATAAATATTTAATTGCAGGTGCATCAGATTCAACTATTTCATTCTACTCCAACTTTTCCATTCATTTCCCAGCTCAAGAAGTCTCAGTTTGTCCCTATTATTTCTAGGGTCAAATACAAACTCCTCTGCTTGGCATTTAAAGCCCTTTATCACCTGGCTCTAACCTACTTTTCTAGGCTCATTATACATCCACTTTGCAAAGTATGCTTCTCCTCCCATACAGCTTCCCATCTCTCATCTCTATGCTTTTGGATAGGGAGAAGACCTATTCCCCATGCCTGCAACATGCTTCCCCTTTACCTCTACCTCTTAGAATTCCTAACTTCCTTCCAAACTCACCTCAAGCTCAGCTCTCCCCATAAAGCCTTTTTTGATTCCCCCAACTACTAATGCCTCTCCCATCCAAAAAATTACCTAGCATTCACTAGCATATATTTTGTACATATTGCTATGTGTATATTCTGTCTTCTTCTAGGCAGAGGTTCCCAAACTTATTTGGCCTACCAACCCCTTTTAAAAGAAATTACTCAGCACCCCCTGGAAATCTACTTTATTTAACCCTTTAAAAGTGTTTTTGAAATTTGGATCATTCCAGCACCCTCCAGGGGGTGGTATCTCCCACTTTGGGAACCTATGCGGTACAGAGAATGTAAACTCCTTGAGGGCAGGGATTTTTTCATTTTTGTCTATATCTCCAGCCTAGCACAGCACCTGGTGCTTGTGTAATATTTACTGGTTGATCCCTGTGCCAGGCTGGTCCAGTTGCCCTCAAGAGAAAGGAGGAGACAGATAGGGGAGAAGGGAAAGAACCCTCCTGAATCACCTGTCCCTCTCAGCCACTCCAGGGGCATATTAAAGATCATTCACCAAGGGTCTTTCACAAATTTGACTTGAATGCAAATCCATGTGGGCAGAGATGGAGCCTTACATGTGTACCTGAGTAAAGCGTGCTTCTGGATAAACATGTGTTTTCATCTGGGACACATATGCTCCTCCCTGCCCTGCCCCATGCCTCATCCTTGAGGATTTTACCTGGGACAGGTCTCCGGTCTCCCTTCTCTGGTTTGGCCTGTGGGGATTCAGAATAAGGACCAAGGTCTGCTGGGGGGTCCCCTCGCTTCACAGTTGTGCCCTTAAAATTCATCTGCAACTGGCTGGTGTACTTCTCGTGCTGAAAGGCAAAGGCCAGAAAGCAAAGGTAAGGAGAATGAGCTCCATTCTACCACCAAGATGAAAAGGAAAAAAAATATTAATTTTTATACATAGTACTTTGTAATTATGAAGTGCTAGGGACAGTGAAGAGGAGGAAACACCAATACCTTAATAAGAGCTCCCATTCTATAATGCTTTAAATTTTACAAACCCTTCCCTCAAAAGAATACTGTGAGATAGACAATACAAGTATTATCCTCAATTTACAAAGGAAAAGAAACAGGATTTGAACCCAGATCTCCTAAACCTAAGTCTAGTCTTCTTTCTTCTAAACTGCACTGACTTTCAATAATAACAACTTATATTGGTATAGCACTTTAAGGTAATTTCTTTTTTCATAAAGCCCTTTCCCACAATAATCCTCCTGTCAGTAGGGCAAGAATCCTTATCCCCTGGAGCAGCTAGGTGGCTCAGTGGATACCATACAGGCCTGGAGTCAGGAGGACCTGAGTTCAAATGTGACCTCAGAGCAGACACTTGACACTTACTAGCTGTGTGACCTAGGGCAAGGCACTCAACCCCAATTGCCTCACCCCCCAAAAAAGAATCCTCATCCCCATTTCACAGATGAGGAAACTGAGGATCATAAATGGGAAGAGGCCCATCTAAGCCCATACAACCGATGAGTGGCAAAAGCTGATCTCCTAATTCCAGTGCTCTTCCAGATGAGGGAAATCCCAGATGAGAAAACCAAGGACTATAGGGGTGATTTGACTTGTCTGCAAGCACAGATGGCAATCAGCAGAGTTAGGACTGAAACTCAGGTTCTTTGATTCTAAATCTAAAGCTCTGTCCTCTACACTCTGTCCTGGACACAAAACTCAGGAGTCAGGACCTGAGCCCATCTAGGCCTAAATCAAGGGTCTAAAAAAGCCCAGCTTTTAAATCCTTCCCTGAACCCTTCCCCAAGCAGAGGGGCAGATGTTACGGGAGCTATAGGCTGTTTTGTGATTGGAGTGAATGAAGAATGAAGGCAGTGATTTTTAGTCCAGTCAATTAGTTCAAGAAACCGGCAGAAGCCTTAGCAACTCTCTAGTCCGAATCCCACCCTGCCCATTTAATAGCAGGGGAAGCTGAGACCCAGAAGAGGAAAGGCATCATCCCAAGGTCTCACTGGGTTGGTGACACAGCCAAGACCAGAATCCAGGTCTCCCGACCCCCAGTCTAGTATGTCTCCAAACACACCATGCTGCTGCTTTCACAGGTTTATCATCTACCAAAACACAAAATTTGGAGTCAGAGGAGCTGCTACTTATCAGACATGTGGCCTTAAACAAGTCAATTCCCTCTCTCTTTACCTGAATTTCCTCATTTATAAAATGAGATTAGACTATATGCTATCTAAGGTCCCTTTCCAGATCTCAATCCTATGATTACTGAGGTAAGAAATAGTTCCCCTGCCCTAACTCTTAGCACTTCGCCAGGATTAAAATAACAGAAGTGAAAATATCCCATATAGTTGTTGGTGGGGTTTTTTTCTTAGGTGCTGAGGAAGAATTCTAAGGATGCATCATCATTCATTCAAAAAACAAAGCCACATTTTAGAAGCTGACCCTAGAAAGAGGAAGGGGCATGAGAGCTAGGAAAAATAAGCCCAGAAATCCCAAAGAAACGAGATGGCATCCTCATCTGTCTTTACTTCACAGGACTTAGAAAAAGAGAAGAAACTATCTGGTCCAACTTCTTCATTTTACAGATGGTGAAACTGAAGCCCAGAATTAATACCTCACTGCCAGTGTAGTAGAAAATCAGCCCCAGATCTCAGCTCTGAACTACTCATGACTATGGACATGTCATGTTCCCTATCTGTTTTGTTTTGGCTAGGCAATGGGGTTAAGTGACTTGCCCAGGGTCATACAGCTAGTAAGTATCACGTGTCTGAGGCTGGATTTGAACTCAGGTCCTCCTGACTCCAGGGCCAGTGCTCTATCCACTGTGCCACCTAGCTGCCCCCACATTTCCTATCTGGGTCTTGGTTTCCTACTCTGTAAAATGGGGGAAAGATGGGTTGGACTAAGTGATCTCTGAGGTTCCTTTCACCTCAAAACCTCATTATCTTACACAAATCTTGGTAGCCACTTACTAGAAGCAAGAGCTTGGGAAAACCCCTTTTCCATCTCTGGGCTTCAATTACATAACTGCATAATGAGGGGGTTGGATTACATGGTTGCTAAAGTCCCTTTCAAACCTAAAATCCTATATATTAAAATAAATGGAACATGAGTAAAGGGCTTTACAAGCTATACCATCTTCCTTACCTATTGTCTCATTAGAGCCTCATAACAGCCCTGGGAGAGAAGCAAGGTGGGGATTATTATTATCCTCATTTTATAGATGAGGAGACAAACCCATCTGGAGAGAAGGACTTGCCAGAGGTCAGACAGTGATTGGCAGAACCAGGGTATGAGAAGAAAGACTTCCCGATTGCCTCATGATGGACTAAAAGAAAGGCCAGCATTGGGCTTGTGCCATAAGGCACTGGCCTCCCCTCCGGAAGCTGTTCGGTGACTTACCTTCAGAGCCTCTTCGGGGACCTTGTGTTGGACGTGTTCTAACACATACAGGTTGGAGTGTAGACAAAGGTATTAAGGAAAGTACAGCCGTGAGGGGGCCTGTCCTATGAGCACAGAGACAAAGCACCTCAAGGAAGCAGAGGGCTTTGTTCACCGTGAGGGGGCGAAGGAAAAAAGGCAGCTCAGAACTACGGAACATCAAGGCTTGCAAAGTGTATTCTTCTCATCCCAGCCATCCTACAAGGTGAGGAGCACAAATTTAGTTGCTTTTTTTTGGGGGAGGGTTGTTTTGTTTTTACAGACTCAGAGAGGAGCAGCACCCTGCCCAGAATCACACAGTAACAACCAGGATTGGAGCCCAGGCCTCCTGAGTCCCATGACCCCACTTCCATTACCCCATAGCATCTACCAGCAAACCCTCTCACAAGAAGCCACATTAGCTCGGGGTGCTACTGGGGCAACAGCAAACAGCTGAGACCCAATGATCCCCACCCATCTCCTCACAACAGGAGCTCCCCATTGCCTATAAGATAAAATACAGACTCCCTTGTCTGGCATTCAAGGCCCCACGCAACTTGGCTCTAACCTCCATTTCCATTATTATTTCATACAAGTTCTCACAGATTCTGATTCAGCCAAATAGTCACCTCCATTCCTCGATCTCGTCCTGCCCTCTCCTACTTCCTAATTCCATTCAGTCAAGCCCATCCCCATTTCCTGGAATGTGTTCTCTCTTCATCATCACCTGATGCAATCATACTCTCCCTTCAAAGCTGAGCTCGGATGCCACTTCCTCTCTGAAGACTTCCCTGCTTCTCTCTCTATTCTCCACCTCGTGAAAATGACCTTCTCTTCCCGACATTTTTCTACAGCACACGTCTGAATTTCTCCTTACATCACATTTACTTCTCTACTCCTCTATTCAACAGTAAGATCCTGGAGAGAAGAGACAGGTATTTTTTCATCTCTGGATCCCTGGCACAAAGCGGAGAGCCTTGCCAAACAACTGCACTTAATATATGCTTTTTAATCGGATTGTTAAGTGGCAGGAGAATGGCAGATCTAAAACCAGGAGGCTTCAAAGGTGATCTAGTCCAACTCCTTCATTTTACAAATTCCAGTAAACTGAATTTTGCCTCAACCACAAATGGTTAACTAGAGATGACTACAAATATAAAGCTAGGCAGAGAGCTCAACTTCTGTTCAGATGTTAGATATGTTCTTAACTAGGGCCTCAGAGGGATTGTGACCATTCAGAAGGTTTTCTCTAAAATTAACTCCCCTAGGGGGCAGCTAGGTGGCACAGCGGATAGAGCACCAGCCCTGAAGTCAGGAGGACCTGAGTTCAAGTCCGATCTCAGACCAAACACCTGCCACTAGCTGTGTGACCCTGGGCAAGTCACTTAACCCCAATTATCTAAAATAAAATAAAATCAACTCCCCAAAGCCAGAGAGAAGGGAACCATGTAGACTTAATGGGACATCAAATTGCCCGTACCCTTGAAATGAGTTAATTATTGTTGTAGGATGTTACATTAGCTATGACTCTGGGCAAGTCACTTGCTTCCCTGGGGCTCAGTTTCCTGATCTGTGCAATGAGGCAGTTGGACTCATTGGGTTCTAAGCTACCTTCCAACCCTAAATCTATGATTCTGTGAGGTTTCATAACCTGCTATCTCAAAGGCCCTAGAAGCAGAAAAACTGAATGGTCTCATCTCTGCAGCCTCTGCCTTCCCAGTCTCTGAGTGGCCAGAGCCACAAGACTGAGGCAGCAGTAGAAGGGGTGATGGGAAGGTACTCTGTGGCACCTTCAAAACCACCTGCTAGAGACATGCTCCAGGTGTTGGCTCAATGAGGATGGTTCCCTAGCAATCCCACATCTCTCCAGTCCCACCACCCACAACTGATATTTCTCCCTTCTCTTCCCACTTCTTACAGACCCTAGAGCCAGATCTATTTTAGCTACTATGTAGCTAGTACTTAATGGATCCCAATCTATGTCTTCATCATGACTCTTCCTTCCTCCAGACTTTAAAAAGCAATCTTAGAGTCTGGGTCTACTCCTCCCTTCCTAGAGAATCAGACTCTCAGATTTGGAAGGGACCTCACAAGCCCATTTGTTTATGTCCTTCCTGAAAAAATAAAACATTTGATAAGGCTCCTACCATGCTCCAGGCATCACAGGCAAAAGGAATACAAAGACACAACACATATACAAACATATATGAAATAAATACAAAAATGGGGTTTTTTGGAGGGGTAACTAGAGAATCAGAAAAGGCTTCACATAGGAGGGAGTAGAGCCCTGAAGGAAACACAGATCTCTAAAAGGAAGACTTGAGGAGGGAGACCATTTAATGCATGGGGAACTGCCTGTCAATCTTCAACAAGTGGTAAGCTATCCTCCACTTGAAAACTTCCAGGGGTGGAGGAGTCTTACCTCTTGAGGCAGCCCATCCTACTTGTGGACAGTGATAATCACTATGGATTTTTCCCTTACGACAAACTCAAATAGTCTCTGCATTTTCTATGTCTTTCATTGTTCCAGGTTTTGCCTCCTGGGGCCAAATAGAATAAAACTAATTCCTCCTTCTCCATCACACCCCTTCAAATACTAGAAGACACTAAATGCGCCCATTCCTTCAACTGATATTTACATTGCATAGTCTCCAGTCTCCTCAATCTTCAGGCCAGTGTCCTTTAGACACAATAAAACTTGGTAAGGTCCTTCCTAAAACATGGTACCCAGAAGTGAACATCCTACTCCTATGACTAGGATAAAGGCCAGTAGTATGACCACTTTTCTCATGCTATCTATTATGCCTTTCTTATAGAGTCAAGGAAAGAATTAGCTTTCTTGGATGTAATGTCATATTGACTCATTTGCTTTCCATTAAGAGATCTTGTCGGCCACAAACTTGCTTAATTACCCCTCCCTCATCCTGTACTTGTAAAGTTGATTGTTTGAACCCAAGTGAAGGACTTTATATTTATGCCTACTACATTTAACCTTTCTCTACCAAGTCCTCCTCGGATGCCCTACCGTGGCGTGAAGGTGACTCCAGGTCCTCAGAGGCTATGCTAGCAGGGTATATGCTCTGTCAGGTTTCTACCAGATTGAAAAAGCTTTGACTACAGTCCAGGCAAAAAAGAAACTCTTTTATCCAAGAACCAGATTCACTAAGTATGAAGAAGTGCCTCACAAGGAAGTTAGCCTCTGATTGATGAATTATTTGGCAACGGCAATTCATGACATGAAGAAAAATACAAAATAATAATAGCTAACATCTATATAAAGTTTACTATGTGCCTGGCACCTAGGCACCTAAGTGTTTTATAATTTATTATCTCATTTCATCTTCACAACAACCTTAGGAGATAAGTGCTATTATTATCCCCATTTTACGGATGAAGAAATTGAGGCAAAACAGAGGTCATGACTTGCTCAGGCCTTCAGTTCTGTGTGGCTCCCTTCTGCAGAGGTAGGGTAAGGGAAAAAGGAAGACAGAAGGTGCTAAGAACCACAGTTTTTAGACTGCCTACAAAAATAACAACTGTTGGTCCTCTAAATGTGAGATCTTTATCCAACGACCAACAAATTGACATATGATCAGAAGACTCAAATTACTGAAACATCAAAAGCATTAAAACCAAAACAAAACCAAACCAAAGCCAGAAGGAAGTTTCAGCTATAAAGAATGATGACTAGCAGGTTTTCCTTGAAAAGAAAAACAAAGGAATTGACCAAGTGGGTTCTGCTGTCTGCCCAAAGTCAAGAATCACAGTCTCCTGGGACATCTGGTCATCTCGTCTTGCCGTGCTCATGATGAACATAAGCAAAGATACTATTGCTGAAGACAGCTGAAGCTGATGTGCCCACATCTGTTGTAGAGGATGAAGAGGCACAAAAATTCTTTAAACAACCTGACGTGCTCCTCCACATCAAGTCTGCATCCATTTTGCTATTCAGTGATTTCAATGTGGCAGGAGGCAGAAGAGGGAAATGTGAACAGTGTGTTGGAAAATATGGTTCCAATTTGAGAAAAGAAAGAGGTCAAGGGGTAGCTAGGTGAGCACCAGCCCTGGAGTCAGGAGGACCTGAGTTCAAATCTGGCCTCAGACACATGACACTTACTAGTCGTGTGACCCTAGGCAAGTCACTTAACCCTGACTGCCTCACCAAAAAAGAAAAAAAAAGAGATCAAAAGTTTATAGATGATCTAGAAAAAGGCCAGAAGGTGCTAGATATTTCAACAGCTCCCCCCCAAAATGACACTGATTATATGTTGTTGTTGTTTAGTTGTTTCAATGATGTCCAACTTTTCATGACCCCATTTGGGGTTTTCTTGGAGAAGAAACTAGAGCAGTTTTCTATTTCCTTCTCCAGCTTATTTTACAGATGAGAAAAGTGAGGCAAACAGGCTTAGGTGACTTGCCCAAGGTCACACAGCTAGTAAGTGTCTGAGGCCAGATTTGAACTCAGGAAGATGATTCTTCCTAACTCCAGAACTGGCACTCTATCCACTGTATTACCTAGCTGCCCTGATTAAATATTAGAAGGTAGGAAACAACTGGTTTCTGAGAAGTAGCATGGTGTGTAATGGATAGATCGCTGGATTTGGAATCAGTAAGATGCAGGTTCAAATCCTGCCTCACATACTTATTAGCTGTGTGACCATAGACAAGTCACTTAACCTCTTTGGGCCTTAGTTTCCTCCTCTGAAAAATGATCTCTAAGGTCCCTTCCAACTCTAAACCTATGCTCTTATGCTATGATTGGTTCATAGGGATGATTACAATCTATGATCCTCTGTGGCAGTCATGTCAGACCAGACTAGTTAAACCAAAAGTCAAAGTCAACATCAAATTAGAAGAAAGGATAAGGGCGAGGAGATACCAAATATATATGTGATAATTTCAACCTGACCTATTCAAAACAAGCCATTGATGCTGTCAAAAAAAATAGTAAATGAAAAATGCAAAGATGTCACCTTTAATCATCATTATTTTCTGCAGAAGTTTTTAATAATGTAAAGCAATCTCCAGAACAAGCAGACCTACAGAGCCCAGACACCACTTCATTTCCTTTCTCAGCAATGCAATGTGGCAGCCAATGACACCATCAGTTTAAAACACAAACTCATTTGCAAAACAACACAAGAGGACAGGGAAAGGACCATTCTCACCCCATAAAACAAAGGGGACACAGAAGCTTGGTCTGAAATATGATTGAGCCACATCATCCTGTGAGCATGCTTAGCTGAAATCAGCAGAACAGAAAGACAGAAAAGGAACCAATTTGCCAATGTTTCTAATTATTATCTATTTTCACCATGAATGACAAAGGAAACACCATATTTGGACCCTGAAATTTCAGTCCCTGATATGCTATCTTAGGAAGTAGAAATGGCATTTGAGGACAGTCTGGAACAATGGTTGGGCCAGAGCAAGTACACACCAAGAGAATGTGTGCTCTTGCTAACACAATTTTGAAAGCACGGAAGAAGCATTTTGTGAGGGAAAGGAAGATACCAAAAGAATAGGAGTGGGGGAGAATATGCATGATATTATTAGCCCAAAAATGTGATTGAGAAGACACCAATAACTACCAACCCTTTTCTCATCTTGATCACAGCTTTATGAGAATGATCTAGTCATATTCTGAGGATATTCTAGACAAAAATACAAGAATGAAAATGCAAAGATTTTTAGAAACTGTTTTGTCCTAAAGATCACGCGTTTATTGACTATAAGGTGCAAAGAATACAAGATCCCATTGTATTTATTAGCTCCTGATTACCAAAAAGCATTTGATGAGGTAATGTAAAACACAGCATTAAAAGCTCCTCCAACAAAATATTTCCTATGCATATGTAAGATCAGAATATGTCAGGGGGAAAAGCACTGGTTCTGGAGTCAGAAAACCTGGGTTCAAATCTCACCTCTAGCACTTACTACCTGGTATGACCCTGGGCAAGTCACAATCTCCCTGGCTTTCTGTCTCCTTATATGTAAAAAGAGGGGGTTAAACTAGATGGCTTTGAGGGTTTCTTCCACTTCTGGATCTCTGATTAAACAAGATTTCTTTATAAGTACCGCCACAAAGGTGTCTCTGTTCCACAGCCCAAGATTGCATTTGGAAAACTGATCAGTGTTTGAGAAATAATCCCAAAGTGCTCTGTGGCACAAATCCCCAACTTTTTAACTCAAATGTTTTTCTAGGAATGCTGCATGGCTACAAATCTTCAAAAACCTCAATTTCGAACAATCAAAGCTGTGAGTGCCCCAGAAAGCAATGAAGAGACACATTGGGATTCTGCATATTTCCAATGGTGACCTACATGCAAGTAGTATAAAGGGTATACAGCTGAGGAAATGTATGATTAGTGGTCTCAAAAAGACAACCAAGGAACATACCATGCATGGCCTTGGTTTGGGGAAGTTCATAGCCTGGGAGTGGGGAGGTGGTGGGGTGAAGAAGTGAATCAAAGGATAGCTCGTATACTGCAGGATATTCAGGAGCTGAGAAAAACCTAAAAGGTTAAAATAATGGGCCAAATCTAATAACATGAAATGTTTTCTTCAGTGGATCTGCGGTCCTCATTGATATAGTCTCTCCAGCAGTGCAGATCACAGGAGGTGCACTGACCAGGTCATGAGAATAAGGGATAACCAATGAACAGCCCAAGCACTACACAGGTAAGTAAGGAGACCTAAAGAAAGTCCTCCAAGCATGTCAGGAGCTCTTCTGCAGAACAGATGGAGGGAAGCAACCCCTGTGGAAAAGGACCCTGCCATCCTGGCTAACTAACAAAATAACTACCCCCTTCAGGGCTGGCAAACTGGCGGCAAGGCACCCTGAGAGTGAGACAAGAGAAGGCACGATGTGCCAGGCAGGTTGCAACACCACCACCATCTCAACCTCTTCTCTCCCTGGAATTCTGGTGACCCTCCCCCGATTCCAAATGCCCTGAGAATTGCAGCGACCCCCCAGACTACCGACCCCGCTGTCAGCCACAGCCACCATTTGTTGTTACTGCTGTTCAGTCATTCAGTCATGTCCAACTCTTCATGACCCCATAGACCAGAGCAGGCCAGGCCCTTCTTCCCTCCACTATCACTCAAAGTCTATCCAAATTCATGTTCATTGTTTCCATGATGCTCTCTACTACCTCATCCTCCGCTGTCCCCTTTTCCTTCTGCCTTCAATCTTTCCCATAGCTATTGCAGAGGGAAGTAATGTTTGCGTAGGAGAGGCCCACCATCCCCACCACTCACCATCACCAGCTGCTGATGGACTAGTGAGTCTGAGGGCATTGGAAGTCTCCCCATCTGCCCCCTCCAATTCCCCCAAATCTTCCCCCCTCCCACCAGCCTCACTTCCAGCCTGACCTATTTTTCTTTGTGTGTCTCCATTGCTTAGCATGGTGTTTTATACATCATAAATACTTAAATGCTTTTTCATTCATTTATTTATTCATTCAACATCTAAGAGACAACATCAACAAGATTCATAAAGGATGAGGATACATGGATTGGCTGTGATCTGCTCTTGCTGGGGAGACTACATCAATGAGGACTGCAGATCCACTGAAGGATTTTATTCAATTCGACCCATTATTTTATCCCTTTCTTTGTGGCTCCTGAATATCACCCAGCATGTGAGCTATCCTTCTCTGCTTCACATCTCCAACCCCCCAGGCCTCGATCTGCTCGTCCTCTGTTGCCCCTCCCGGACGATGAGCTCTCTGAAGGCAAAGCCCAAGTCTCCTCCTCTGCCTCTCCCACATCATGTATTCCCGTCTCTTCCACAGAGTAACTGCCAAGCACAAGGCTAAGCGAGAATTGGGAAATGCTTGTTAAAATGTATTCACCAACTATTTACATAAGTAAAGGGGTATAGTAAGGACATCAAGAGAGGGAGGGATGGGAAAAAGTTCTAGCTGTCATCCCAATGCAGCCAAAATACCAGAAAAATAGATAAAAATAACCACCTCACATAGTGGCGACCTTCCTAGCCCTCCACTTGTCAACCAGTTTCTAGTACACGCTAAGCTGTCTATACCTTCCTCACCTGGTCCCCCGTTGGACCAATAGTCAATCAAAAATATTTATTCAGAGGTTAGGAGCTCAGAAATAGGTCTTCTCTCTCTGGGAGGCTGAGTGGCCGGCATAGGGATGAACATGTGACCTTGGCCTCATCACTTCCCTCTATCTGAATGAGCTATGAACGCACCATCCAGCTGCTGCATGAGCGAATGTCACCTGATGGACTTTACAGTTCGACATGTCGGGGCTGCCTCCGTAGGAGCAGAAAAAATCTGGCTCTCAGAGAAGTGGGAGACAGGCAGAAACAGAGGGGGTGGGAAAAAATAGGGAAACCCCAGGAAGACCCAGACCACAAAAAAAAGGATATCGTAGCCAAAGCGGATAACGTCGTTGAGTTTCAGAGTGACATATTTCTGGTCAGGGATGCGCACGTCATTCACAAACGTCTGTGTGGAAAAAGGAGATAGGGGATTAGACTGAGGCAGAGGCCTTGTTGCTAACTCTCTGTTACCCAAAGAAGGATTATCCTGGTGGAGAGATGTTGAGTTGTAGGCAGGTAATGCCTCCCAGGACCCTGCTGAACTCTCTCTCTCTGCCTCCCTTCCCCCTGTCATTCCTAATGTCCTGTAATAAACACATGTTAAAGCTAGTTGGCAGAGCCCAGGGCTACGCACATGGCAAGCCTGATAAATCACCTGAATAATGACTGGCATTCTCTAGCAACTTGAGGTTTACAAAGTGCTTTCTTCACAATAGCCTTGGGAGGCAGCACAAAATATCAGAGGCCCCATTTAAGAGATGAGAAAAACAGGCTCCAAGACAGGAAGCGACTTGTCCAAGGATACACAGGTTTTAAATATCTCAGTCAGGATTCAAACCCAGGTCTCTCCTGATGTCAAATTCAGTAGTACTCTTTCCACTACATCACAATAGACTGGCCCCAGAATTCTCCAATGAAATTCCACATAAAGAACACAAGCCTGTTGCCAAAACTATATACAGTAACACTCCATACTCTCCAGAAACCTTGGGACATGAGCCACAGTGAAAATTCCCCAGGTATCTAAAGGTTAACCTTTCTAAGCAATAAAACTAAAAATTATTTTAAATTACTCAGACTGAAAAACTTTCAAAAATATACCACACATGTCCCTGAGAACCTTAAAGAAAGGACACTGGACAGTGTTTAACTTTTTCCTTATTGATTTTCCTTATTGATCATCAATACAAATATAAACTACTCATCTTTGGAAAGTCACTTCCTTTCTCTGGGCCCCAGGGCCCCTATAGGTAAAAATGGGGACAAGCAACTATTACGAGGAGGGCACTTAGTTTACTATAAAGCACTACAGAAATATGAGCTCAACAAGGGACATAGTGATGCTTTCTGGGGTGACTGAGATTTATTTCTGCTTGTCCCTATACCAACTGGCCCCTGACAGATGGATTGTCTCTTTTTGGGAAAAAAAAATGATAACTCACATTTATAAACTTATATCTCAAACCACAGCTACTCATAGGCTGGATTCTGTTAGCAATAAGCACAGAAGCATTGTTCTTCTCTGTTTCCAACCCAGCCAGTTTGACCCTCCTTGGGTAGCCCCATCCCCATTCTGGAGACTCACCATATTGATGCCTAACTCAGCTTAAACATCATTTCAGCTTAGCCTATTGAAGCTCATAATGAAACTCAAAGATTTCACCAGCCTCAGCCTCCTCAGTAGCAAGAATTATAGGCATAAAACTATATTTTATCATACTTTATAAAATTCACATATATTTAACCCTTTGTGTTTATAAAGCATCCACGTAACAACCCAGTGAGTTGAATATAATCGTTAATATCCCCATTTTAAAGATGAGGTACAGAGAAAAGAAAACTGGTTTTGGAGTTTAAGAACCTGAGTTCAAATTGCAATTCTCCCACTAACTACCTGTGTGACATTGGGCAAGCAGGTACAGAGAAAAGAAAACTGGTTTTGGAGTTTAAGAACCTGAGTTCAAATTGCAATTCTCCCACTAACTACCTGTGTGACATTGGGCAAGTCGCTTAATTTTCTGGATCTGAATATTCTCATCTATAAAATGAATGGTTTGGTCTAGATGATGGGTTCTTAATCACAGGTCCACATGTTTGTTTTCTTAACATTCTGATAATTGTTTTTCAATATACTTGGTTTTCTTCATAATCCTAAATAGTTTATTTTATGCATTTAAAAGCATTTTTGGGAGAAAGGGGTCCAGAGGCTTCACCAGGCTGCCAGAGAGGACTATAACACACACAAAAAGGTTAAGAATTCTTGGACTAGATGAACCATAAAGGAACCAGCCTTCCAACTTTGAATCTATATACAATACAGCTAAGCTAGTCAAGCTTTAAACTGCACTAAGATTTTTGGGACACTCTGTATAATCCTATGAAACTCAGAGGTGTAGTGACACGCCCATTGTCACAGAGCCCGAATTGGAACTTGGATATTCTGATTCTGGCATCCTTTTCTCTATACTCCACTATTTCCTTGAGCACATTCTGACTCTATAAAAATTTAAAAACAATAACTCAAAGACATTAGCTATAAGATAGTCATTCAATTACCCCTGACCTAGCTGTTGTTGCTGCTATTGTTGCTGTTCGGTCATGTCTGACCCCATTTGTGGTTTTCTTGGCAGAGATATTGGAGTGTTTGCCATTTCCTTCTCCAGCTCATTTTACCAATGAGGAAGCTGAGGCAAACAGGGTGAAGTGACTTGCTCAGGGTCACGCTGCTAGTGTCTGGCTGGATTTCAACTCAGGTCTTCCTAACTCCAGGCCCATCATCTATCCACTGTGCCACCTAGCCTCCCGTTAGATCTTTAGAAAAGCAACTGGGATGGTGGGAGGATAGGGGACAAGGGGCTTTGACATTTATTTATTTTTTATTTAAGGCTCAAGAGAAGCATTAAATAGGTAAGGCTTTTATATTTATTGATATACAATTATGGGCAAATCACTTTCTTTCTTCCCTGCCTCAGTTTCCTCATCTGTAAAATGAGGGTAGTAACTGAAAAATCACCTCTTCTATACAACACCTTCTCAATACTTTTAGGCAGCTATAGTGTTTCTCCTGAATCATTTTCCCCCCAGTTGAACACACCCAGATTCTTGAACCAATCCTCACATACAATGGACTCAAGACCCTTCTTCATCCCAGTTGCCTGGACACTCACCAGTTTGTCAATGCCCTTCTTAAACCATGACACCCAGAAGTGAGCGTGGCACTCCAGGTGAGGTCTCAGGAGGGCACAGTACAATGGGATTATGAGCTCCCTCACTAACTCTTGGAAGCTCTGGCACCCTTAAGCAGGTGCCAGATGACATCAGGGCTCTTGGCTGCCATATTACAACACAGACTCATATTGGTTTGGTAGATCCCTAAAACCCCCAGGTCTCTTTTTTAAAACCATTTCTATCTCATATTTGTGAAGAGGGTTTTTGTTTTGTTTTGTTTTGTTTTGATAGACAAGTGCAAGACTTTTGCATTTATCCCTACTGAAATTTCATCTTATTATATCCAGCTCAGATGTTTAACCATGAAGTGTAATCCTTTTGAACGCGGACTCTTGTCATTCGGCGTGTTGGTTAGTTATTTCTGCAGGTTTTGTGTCCTCTGCAAATCTAATGAGCGCACCACCATTCCAGTCAGTCACTTTCATTCAAGTCACTGACAAAAATGTTGGAGAGCCTGAGAGAGGAAACAGGTCCAGAAAACTCCCAAGCAAGGGAAGAGAAAGAGGGTCACTTATAACCCACCTTCTCATCCTCCCCTTTTCAACCTCACCAATAGGCAAAGTTATTCAATCTAGCCCAAATAATTCCTGCTGCAGACGAAACTCTTTTCCTCTGCTGCCCACAGAACAGTGGACCCCGGTTCTCCTATCTCAACTCAAAGGGAAATCACAGGTTACTCCTCCCACCCTTGTAGCCCCTGAGCTTTCTCTAGCAAACGAGATATTTGTTTTTATTTACTTTTTTATTTCTTCTTTTTTACTTACTTTTTATTTTTTAAATTTTTTATTAATTTATTTATTTTTAGTTTTCAACATTCACTTCCACAAGATTTTGAGTTCCAAATTTTGTCCCCATCTCATCCCTCCCCCCCACCCCAAGACGGCATGCATTCTGAATACCCCTTCCTCTAATCTGACCTCCCTTCTATCTCTCTCCCTCTTCTCTTATCCTTCAATTTTCCTGTAGGGCAGGAGCAAATGAGATATTTGTAAAGTGCTTAGCACAGTGCCTGGCACACAGTAAGTGGTTAATAAATACTTGTTCCTTTGTTCCTCCCTCTGTCTAGGCTGAAGACTCCCCCAGTCCCCTGACTCTCTTTCCAAAAAGATCTCACTCCTCAACCCTCTTTCTAATGACTTGTGGTTGCCTTTGCTTACTGATATGCCCTCAAGAAATGCCCCCCTTTCTCCTCACAGAATTAGAGTCACCTGAAGAAGGAACTATTCGGAAAAATACCCCTTCTTCCTGCCCCCTGCCCCCTCAGCAGCTATGGCAACAGGGGACTGGAGGCAAGAGACGAAACACAGACCAGTCCTCAGGGAAGCTGAGGACCCCAGAGGTCAACTCACCCCATTTAAGCTGCCAAGATCCTTCACCCAGTGCTCGTCCTTATCCTGGTTATAGTTGATGACTGCGTGCTGCTTGTCCACGCTTCGAGACTGAGGAGGGAGGGAGGGAGGGAGAGAGAGAGTCAGATCCATTTATTCCCCAGGTAGACCCTTCCCCCTTTGCCTCCCAACCTTCCCACAATGACTGAGGAGTCTTGCCTTTCTGCTCTGAAAATTGCTCTTCTCAGGACAGTATACCAAAAACCCTGCAGCATCCCTTCTCCATGATCCCTAAAAGGGGTGGAGGTCAATTTATAGAAGAGGAAATTGAGGTCCAGATGGAACAAGTGATTTACTCAACATCACACAGCAATCTGGTAGAAGAAAAAGAACTAGAACTCATTTCTTCTAGTTCCAGACCAGGGATCTTTCCACAGATGTTTAGGTGTTGTTCCCCACCCCACCCCACCCTGCCCCAATCACTCTGTAATTTCACTGGCATCGTGAACTTCCTGAGAAGAACTTCTATCTGCATGAGGTGATGCCACTGGCAAAGCAGTGGACAGTGTTGAGCTTTGATTCAGGAAGATGCTGGCCTCAGACACTTACTATCTGTGTGACCCTGGCCAAGTCTCTTAACTGCTCTCAGCCTCAGTTTCCTCATCTGTTAAATGGGAATAATGACAGTACCTACTTCATAGGGTTGTTGCAAGGTTCAAATGAGTTAATATTTGGAAAACGCTATGCAAACCTTAAAGTGCTCTATAAATGCTGGCTACTATTACCAATTCAGATCATCAACTTCCCTGCAGTGCAGGATCTTGGAGATTTGCTTGGAACGCTGAAAGGATAACTGACTTCCCCAGGGTTGCATAGCTAGTATGTATCATACATTGGATTTGAACTCAAGTCATTCTGATTGCAAAACTGGCTCTCTATCCACTACACCACAGATCTCTAAGGCTGTATTAATTGGGACCACACCAATATTTGCTTCAAATCTCCCAAGGCTGTGTCCCACCGCCTGGTTAACCTCAGAGTTTCCAGTAGACCTAAGCTCAGCGGGAGGGTGGGGAGGGTTTGCCCTATAAATTCCCATAGAAGATAAAATGCCACTCCTGCCAAGGGAGACTTTATAATCTCCAGCAGAAACCTTGTTCTGCTGCTCATTGCTCCCAACCTGGCCATGCCCAAACCCACCTATTTTCTAGCCTTGTCCCCTTACCCTAAATCAGACTCAGTCCAAGATACACCCCCCACCCCAGGCTGAATGTACAGAGGGACCCAGGCCTAGTGAGGAGCTTCCAGGTTTGAGCTAAGGAAGGAATTTCAGGGCCAGCTCCATCATCAACCACAACAGCACCCCCCTGGCCAGCCAGTCAGAGCCATAGTCATGCTGGTAGCTCCACCATCCATCCCCAACTCGGTATCAGCCTAGAGGACCCATTTCTCCCTGCAGGAAACATTGCTTCACCTGATCTTCACAGAACATGGCCTTTAGTCCTCTCAACACCCTGGCCATCATCCTTTGGTTGTGTTCTTAGGGTGACCAAAATCCTTCATTCTAAATATAGGCTCAAAATTGGTCAACATATAACCTGACAGGAGCAAAAGACAGCAGGGGTATCACCTTCCCCATTCTGGACACCTGGCTTCTCCCTAGAATCCCTAACCACCCTCTCCAGCACCAGATATACCTTCTCTCAGATCCCCCAACACAGTAAGCCAAGAAATTGGGCACGTATACTTCTTGTTCTCCACTGCCATTTCCAGACCATCCATCCATTTGCCACCATCATTCAGGTCCCTCTTTTCCTCCAAAGTTCACTCCCATGTAGCATCCTATTCAGATCCCAGCTAGAGTTACTTGTAGGCCCTCAAGCCAATCTTCCTCATGTCTCAATAAGATTAGCTCACATTTATATAGCTATTTAAGGTCTGAAAAACACTTTACATACATTCTCAGTTATCTTCACAACAACCTTGTAAAGTAGATGCTATTCTTCAGTTATTCTGTCACATTGGACTCTTTGTGACCCTGTGAACCACAGCATATCAATACTGTCCGTGGAATTTTCTTAGCAAAGATACTGGAGTAGTTTGCTATTTCCTTCTATAGTAGATTAAAGCAAACCGAGGTTAAGTGATTTGCCCAGGGTCACACAGCCAGTAAGTGTCAGAGGCCGAATTTGAACTCAGGTCTTCCTGACTCCATGCCCATAACTTTAGCCACTGAACCACCTAACTGCCTCCATAACATAGATGCTATTATTCCCAGTTTATAGCTGAAAAAAGTGAGGCTCAGAGGCTTGTCATACAGCTATCAAGTACCCAAAGCAGAATTTGAACCAATCAACTGATAAACATTTTCAAGTGCCTGCTATATGCCAGGCACCGCGCAGTGCTCTGTCCACCACACCATACTGCCTCTCCTAGAATTCAGTCCCTGACGCACTCTTCCTCTCTACCCTGCCCTCCCTTGAAGACTTCCATATACACCCAGCTCATACTCCTCCTCAATTCCCATGTCCTGCACCTTTACTACAGCTCAGCCCACATGCTTTCATCTCACCGCCACCTCTAACTATTCTATCTCTGTGATTCAGAACTGTGAAATTCCTCTCTCTGATGACTGCCTTCTATCTGTCCATCTCTCTCTACCAACACTTTATAAGCCAATGGCATCCTCATTGCAAACTTCAGTAATTCCACTCCTCCCAGTACATGCCATCTTGCTCTGACCTCACTTTCCTCTCTTTGCAATCCACACCAATCCCATCGTACAATCTCCTTTACTCTCAAAGTTTTTCCCCTTGTCCCATCAGTATTTGGGCCTTGCTGAGTGCCAGCAATGGGTTGCCTCCACCATCCATCTTCTCTGCTCCTATTCTACAGCTTTTGAATGCTGTTGGAGAAAGTCACGCAACTTTGCTGACTAGGTCCACTGTACATTGATATTTACTCAACTAGGTCTTCACTGCTGCATGAGAGTCTTTATTCTTCCTTGACTGATTCTCTATTACACCCCTCATAGTGGTGGACCAAATTTCTTCCCAAGTTTCCTACATTCCCCCTCCCTTCTCAGCAGAGAGCCTCACCTCCTACTTTACTAAGAAAGTAGAGGCTAGGTAGCCCCAATATCCAATCAATGGCCATGGTTTGTCTAATCTACCTCTTCAGGCAGCATGGTACCATGGGAAAAACACTGATCATGACAGAGGATCCAAATTCAATTCTGGGTTCTGCCACTTATTAGCCATATGACATTTGATAAGTCATTTACCCTCTCTAGGACTCAGTTACCCCATCTGTAAAATGAAGGGGTTGGACCAGGTGGCCTGTAAGGTCTCTCCTAGTTCTAAATCTGGGATCTCTATGATTGTATTGGTCCCCTTCACTCTTATATGTCCCATTTGAGGCCCTGGTTCAGGTTCCCATCACACGTCTCTTGCAACAATTTCCTAATTGGACTCTCAGTTTCCAGTATCTTCCTTTTCCAATCTAGCCTCTAAAAACCTGCCAAAATAATCTTTCTAAAGTACAACTCTGATGATATCAGTGGCTCTATTCAACCTTTGGTGACTCCTTACATGAGGGGGAATAAGCATTTATTGAGCGCCTATTATATGCCAGTAATTCTGCTAAGTACTTTTTCACAAATATTACTTCATTTGATCCTCACAGCAACTGTGGGGGTAGGTACAGTTATCCCCATTTTACAGTTGAAGAAACTGAGGCAAACAGAGGGAAGGGAGTATGAGAGAGCTTCACCCAGGGTCACACAGTTGTCTGAATTTCTGAAGCTGGATAAAATATGCATTCATAAAACTTGGCCAGTTAAATCTCTTTACAATCTGTTCTCAGGTGGACTGTATATTCCTTACCTTCCAGTACTCTATACTACTCTATATCAAACTGTGTTACCTAATATTCCATGGACTGGCATTCCCTCTTCTCCTTCAACTCCCCAGCTTTGTTTTCATCTCCCCTGGTGCACCACCTCCTGCCGGAAGCCTCTGCTGACCCCCATAGTTTATAACATTCTCTTCCCTCAAATTATCATGTATATGTATCTGTTTACATGTACCTAGTTACGTAGAATTGTTCCCCCCACCCCCATTAGAATGTGAGCTCATAAAGGGCAGGGACTGGGTTTGGTTTTTTTTTTAATTTTCCTTCTTCGCTGCATCCACAGAGCCTAAATTAGCACAGTGTCTGGCTCATAGTAAGCGTTTAATAAATGCTAACTGACTTATTATACTCCCACAATGAAATCTAAGTTCCTTGAGAGCAGAAATTGTTTTTCTCTCTTTGTATCCCTGGTGCCTAATAGAACGATTCCTTTTTTTTTTTTCCGGAAGGGATGAGAACAAGCATTAATTAAACCCCTACTATGTGCCAGGCTCTATGTAAAGCACTTTACAAATCTTATCTCATTTGATCCTCACAACAAACCTAGGAGGTAGATGCTATTATTATCTCCATTTTACAGTGGAGGAAACCACGGCAGACAGATTATGTGACTTGCCCAGGGTCACCTAGTTAGCATCTGAGGCCAGATTTGAACTCAGGGTTTGACTCGAGTCAGGGCCTACTTAAAAGTGTTCTATACACTGCCCTACCTAGCCGCCTCGGAGGGCAAGGAAAAGGAGAAGCAGAAGCTAAACTGTGATTTCATTAACAGGACGAAATCTCAGTGAAAAAACTCCCACTGCCAACTCAGATTATGCTCTGCACCTTAGAGAATTAAAGTTGGCTAGAATACCCAGAGGCCTCAAGTGACTTTCCCAGGGTCAAACAGCCAGCGCTTTTCCTGACTTTGAGGCAGGTCCTTGTCTCTATCTACCACAATGCCTTGCATGGTGGCAAGACATCTTGTTTCTGGACCAGACCTGGGGTTTCATCAGCACATGGAACACCAGTACATATCGGCGACTGCTCTGCCTGTAATAGGTGCTCGTGGCAAACTAAATTCAATCAGGATCACAATAATATTCTTGGTTGCCATATCAACAATGTTGACTCATTGGGCAATTCACTCAACGTTTTTATTATATAAACTGTCCTCTCCAACTAGGGCTTGGGTTTCCTCACCCAGGGAACAGGTAAAG